AATAACAAAAGGCTTTTTTCTAAAAGTGAAAAAAATTACTAATTTAGTTATTTATAGTATTTAGTAATAACAATCTTTTTATTTATATTAATTAATTAATACTTGAAAATAAAGAATACTCATTGGAATGCTCGGATTTACAAATCAGAGGTATAATCTACTTTGTAGATGAATGTAAATTAAAATATACAATTGATAAGTTTTAGTGAGTTCTAATCTAAATAAATGCATATTTTTGCAGGTAAATTATTTTTTGTAATGCAGATATAATACCCTAAACGTGCATTATACTTTACATTAAACTGCCTCCTTGACACGGCAGAGAACGCAAGCGCCCCGCCACACTCTTCCTAAAGAGTAAAAAGGGGTACGGCAAGCGGATGGGTACCGGTCGATAATATTCGCCCATGGGAAATACGCTCTCTTCTTTTTATTCCTGCCTTTAATACTCTCTGACCCGCTTCTTCTCATTCTCTTCAGCTCCATTCCCATAAATACCATCCATAGTATAGTATCTGCTATACTTGCCAGTTTATATCATCTACGTCATTGCAGACGACAATATTATTTCCTGCCACCCCTATAAATATGTCTAAGACTACAAAATGATTATGTTTATATGCATTTACATTAATTGTCGCCTCGGAATAATTTTTATTCTGAGTTAGAACCTTTGAATCTAACTCAAAATTGATCATTTTTCAGTAAACTGTTTTTAAAAACAAAATTTTCATTTAGTTAAATGGAACTTTAATTTTTTAATTAAGTTATTTCGTTGTATAATAACTTGTTATATAGCTCATTATATTATTAAGTATAACGAGTATTAAGTATAAGTATTATAGCTTAAGAAATACTTCATTAATTTTTAAAATATTTTTCAAAAAATTGCATTAGTACCTTTTTATTCTCAGCTGATGTAAAATTTCGTATTATTTAGTATAGTCATTGTCTTATCAATATCAGACAAAACTTTTAGAAGAGTTTTTAATTACTATTTACAAAGTTAAAATACACAAAATAAAATAGACCCAGTCCCATTAAATTCAACCAGTTGGATAGGGTTGGTCAGCAAAAATATTATATATTTTTTTTAAGCGATTAGCAGTGAACATTTTTTGATAACGTCGGCTATTAGAATTTCATGGAAATCCCATTAAGGTATAAATAGAGTAGAAACAATTCTTAGAAGTTCTTAAAAATACGTTAAAACTGATATTATTTGTTTTTACTTATATATTTTCATTTTATAAAATGTTTATTCGTTAAAAAAAAAATTCTAAAAGTTTAATTTTTTTATGCTAAGTGCGATAATTATCCTAGATTTACTATATCATGAACGGTTAATTAATTATTAATTACAAATCTAATTAAATTTCTTGTATTGTTATATTTTGTCGTTTCAATGTATCAATTTAGGTTAATTGGATTGCTTTAAGATTGTACCAATTAAATTATCATTAAAGAAAAGTATATTTGTGTTTTTTTGTTCAATTATCGTAAATTGTGCGATATAAATGCAACAGAAAACTTTTGGAGATGTTTAATCATATTATGCCTGTTTATTGTTATATATTAAATGATTCGTTTAAGTCTTAAAGTTATACTATTTTTGTTATCAAAGATTTCTATTAAAGTATTATGAACTAATATTTTTCTTGTTGATAATTATTCCCACGAAATAACTGGTAGTAAATTAATAACAAATTTACAACTGTTGAAAATATTTTTTTTCATTTAAGTGTAGTAAAATTAAGTATTCGGCAAAGTGCGTTATTAATTCTACACAAAGTAATGATATTTTGAGATAAATTATGTTGATAAAGTAGAACTTTTGTATAAAGAGTGGAGACTTCTACAAAAACATTCTGGTTGAATTATAGTTAGCCGCAAAGAAAAAGTAGACGCTTTTACATTAAAGTTTAATAACTTGTTTGATATTGTACATACTGATGCTCTAAGCCTAATGAAAATAGACGAATATAGACTATTTTTGATAAGTCATAGGAAAGAAGAACGACCAGGGTTTTTGCATGAGATTTCTAATGTAATTAGTTAAAAGAATAATCACGAAAAAATAGAAACTGGAAACATAAACGTTTCACAGGGTATGTTGAATTAAAATTTACATGAAAATTAAAATTATATATAGTTTAATATTTTTTTAGGATTTATAAATTTCAAAGACCGCCACCACATTAAGTGAGAACGTTAATGTCGATGATACTGATAATAGTTTTGAATTGCCACCACCACAAAAACTGAAAAATAAATACTCCAAAACTAGTCAAATCTGATTATGTTTACTAATATATTATTAACTTTCAGATTATACACTTACATAGAGATATAAAATAGATATAATTTAGTGAGTGTAAAATATTAATCAAACATAAAAATAATGTGAAAATAAATAAGTAAAAATAAACAAAATAAGTTATAACAGTTATACATTAGTACTATTAAATTTTCACAAAAAAAGTTAATCGGTTTGTAATTATTAAACAGTTAATATTAATATAAGAACAGTTCATAGTATAAAAGGTATAGGATACTTTATTTGTAATAAAACATCTAGAACTTTTGGTTTCACGGAAAGAAATTGCGGAGATTTTAAAAGTATAATAAGTCTTAAAACTTTATACTTTGCTTTAATTAGATCTACGTTTCAGTAAGATTCTATCATGTGGGTTCCCTTACAAATAAGAGAAATAAGAAAATTATAATCTATACAAATTAAATTTTTACGTATGATATCCTATGAGTTAAATGTAAATAGTTTCTCCAATAATAATACACACCGATTTTAGCATTTTAGTCTACCCTTCAAGCTAGAAGTAAATTTAACGATTTATACTTAATATTGATTTTTATAAAATGTACCCATTGCCTTTATAGGTATTACTTTAATAATAAATTAATAAATAACTTATTTATTTAAGTCTTTTACATATTTTTTACTATGTTTAGTAATTTTGTGATCTATTTATTAAAAAAAAGAACATTAAAGTTATTATTTTTAAATTTCTAATATAATTTTCTTTACGTGAGTTATACTCTCGTTTCTAAGTTAAGCAAATAAAAAGTTATGAGATATAGATCAGTTATTTCTATTAAAATTGTCTCATCAATTCAACTTAAGAGGTTCGGGGGCATGGGTTTAACTTAAAAAGATTTATCGGATTGGTCCCAAGCTTTGCACAGCTCATTGATATGAGCAATAAAATAAAATTAAGGGGTAGCGTAAAAAAAGACGTTTGAATTTTAAGGGTCACTCTACAATACAATTAATAGACTGTGAGTAGTATTTAATATAATATTACATGAAAATCTATGGCGTAAAATAAAGACATTCGATTTTTTAGGGCCACCTTACTTTATAGTTAAATACTTAATATCCACGCTTATTACTTTCAAATAATTCTTAAAATATTTGGATGTAAATTGTAAAAAAAAGTACAATGTCACAAAAATAAATTATAAAATGATAGTTATAAAACAGTCTAAAAAGGCAGTACGGCATTCGAAATTATCAAAAAAATAAGAGATGGAGACTATCAACTATATAAAGTAAAAAGGTTAAGAGCATCCCCTCTGTAGTGCAGTGGTTACTTGGTAGAGTTGGATAGCGTAGAGCAGCATGGAACATAGTAGTGGAGTAAGCTAGTCACATAACTATTCAGCACAACACGGCGTAAAACGAGTAAGAAACTATCTCGGCTGCCGTACGCTTCCTGACACTTGCAAATCTTATTTCGGTGTTCATATTACTTCTACCTAACTAAAATTCATTTTTAAGAGCTTTAATGAGAACAATAGAAGGTGAGTCAATTTTACTAACCCTTATAAATTCATTTTAATAACTAAAGGATTTTAATCGTTTTAAATAATAAGGTTTTACGAGTAGTCATTAATATAACAGTAATTAACTCTGTTATATTGTAACAATATACGGTCCACACACCATTTTAAAAGTCTTGGGAGCGAGGCGTTCGTGCTTTTGCCGGCGCCACTCGACGAAGAAGTTTTTAGAACAACGCTGTGTTAATTCACATGCAGCTCAGAATTACTTAACATACATAAAACCGTATTGTTACAATTCAATATATTAACAGAATAATTGTGTACTGTAATTTATATTAATAACCTTGTTATTTTGAACCCTGATAAAATATTGTACGTATTAATTCACTCGTGTTCTACCAAATCTAGCCCCTCTTTTATAATATTATTATCCTTTTCTTTTTATTATATTTTGAATTACTACACATATGTATAATAAAATCAAATTTTCTAAAATGAAAAACAACTAATTTATTATGATCAAGAAAAATTATAAAATAATATTTAGCTAAAAGAATATTTTAGATTTTTTTAAACATTTTTATCCGTTTTTTTTTTTCAAATAGACTGTATTAGAAAAAAGATATATTTTATTAATAAAAGGACTAATTAAATACATTGAATTCTATCATTCTTATTTATGGTGGCCGTAAATTATCCATATTCATTATTATAATTATATTTTCTGAGACACGTAAATAATGACATTATCCCTCGTTTAGATTTTTTTAAATTAAAGTTTATTAAAAGTATATTAAAAAAAAGCCAACAGTGCACATTACTCACTAATTGTTTTTATAAAAGTAAAAAAACGCTAAACACTCTATATATTTTTTATATATTAATTATATTCTATAATTAATAAACATATATAAAATAATCTTTCAGTGTATTATGATAGTTCATCTTTTCTGCCTAATTATCGCCAATACTATCATTTTTGTAGTATTGCCAATACTAAGTTAAGAAAATTCCTTTCTAAGACGAATTATGACACTTACAAATTGTATATCCTTTTAATACAAACACTTTTCTTAATTAGTAAATAATATAAAAATGAGCGCAACCTCGACTAGCTCGAGTTTCGTTTAAAATTTTTGATATTAACTTTGAAAAAGTAAAAACTATATTTCTTAAATATTATTTTTGGCATTTACCTCTTCTTCTCCACTGTGAACGCATTCTGCACTGCCGTAATCATTTTTGTCGATCCACGAGTTAACCTTGTCCGCCACGTCTTTAGGGCAACTATTGTTTGCAGAGTCTTCTACCCTTGCGCATAGTTCATCTTCAGCTGTAGTTTCCTTGATACCGGACTGTTTTGATGTTCCTGCACGATTCTCACCATCCAAGAATATTGAATTGGCTACTAGAGTAAACCTAAGCCCCGAGCTAACGTTGAAGAGAGTAGGTTTTTTTTTGTTAGCCCCTTTTTTCACCTTACACTTTTCAAACACGTTACGGAAGCCCAAAAATTTTTTTTCGATATCCTCAACAGTATCATCTTCTAACGAACGGTTTCGATTATTGTCAGCACGAGAGATCGTTACACCGGCTAACTGTTCATCTTCCAATGACGGCGTGTACGATTCGCGGGGTTTATTCGAAGTGCGGCCATTTACGCCCTTTAGACCTCTTTCACGCGATTTGTAAAAAACACGAAAAAACGATTTTGGGCCATCGCCATTGTGGTTTTGTACGTTACCGGTTCGGACGTCGTACACACATTCGGGTTTTTTTGAACCACTCAGGCCCAAACACTTAGTTACGTAGTACTTACAGTTGGATTCCGTTTCCATCGCTATCGTTTTTTTTACAAAAACACATTGTCACTAAACACAGATTTCTTAAATGCAATAAAAAATTTATTTTTTACCGTCGTGGCCACATATTAGTGACGATGTTCGTTACGCTGCAAACACTTGCACGACCATACCACCGGTTGTTTTTAGAAATGATAAAAAGAAGCCGTCAGTGAAACATTTGTGTCAACAAACGTGCTAAAATAGGTCGACGGAAATCGGAGGTGAAGTGGGAAACAGTACGATTGATAGTGTTCAGTGAATTTTGTAAAAAGCTCGGTGTTATTACCAGTTGAGTTTCGGAGCGTGCGTTTGCTTACAGCAGAGCTATTTAAACAATATCCACGCCTTTTGAAGGTCATAAGTTAGGTTCATGAAGTTCAACTTACACACTTATCACAAGCTTTCATAAAAATTATTATTCAATCAATAACAATGCATTAACTGCATTACGAACACCGATAATTTATCCTACCAGAATTCTCTGTAAAAAAACTACCACAGTGGAGATGCGGCATAGTTGGGATAAATACAAATAATATCTATCAGTGATTAAAATTACTAAAAAGCAACGGCACAATATGGTTCATATAGCTATAATAGCGGTTAATAATTTATATTATTAACCGTATTATATTATAATTCAGTTGTAAAGCCAATGAAACCATTAAAACAAAAAAGGTTGCGTTAAGTGATAGTTATTGTATTTAAATGCTATTATGATTTATTAAATTTGAGCTGTGTTAAAATTGCGCTTTTCGGTTTGTGACTGAGAGGTATACTTTAAGGTGTTAAGTGATTGTATTAAGCGTAAAAACTGTTCGAGGTTGGGATGGATTGTCTTGTGCTTTGTTGTTATCAATGGTAATTTTCTGCGGAAGCTTACAAACAAAGAGAAATCATATTGTTACTGAATAATGAAGATTTTACATTCATCGTTATAATAGCATTGAGAAAGGTTGTTTTATAGCTTCGATTTTAAATCAATAGATAGTTATTTTTACTGGAATATTTAATTAAATATTAATTATAATATAAAAATCATTATTTATCATTTAAATTTGAGTCTATCTAGTATATTTTAATTTAGGCGAGCAAACAATAGTTCTTTGGTTTCTTTTTAAATAATGTTTGGTGATTTTTACTCTTGCAATTAAGTATGTTTTTAAAAATAACTATTGTATAAAATCAAATCTTTGATTTTTGGTATACACATATTAATGTGAAATTAATAGTAATAATTTATATTTGTCCAAATTGAAGTAGAATGATATCAAATAAATTTTTAATTGGTATTACTAGAACGAAAAATTAAATAATTAAAGCTAGTTTTTCTTAATCCAGGTCCCATAAATATGAATTAACAATATTTATATTCAATAATAAACAATATTTTAAATAAAGTACTATTCAAGACGAATCTATGTTGCAAATACTAAGGGTGTAAAAAAGTACACTCTTATAGGTCAAATACTTTTTCTCATTATTTTCAAAACAAAATACATAAAAAATAATGTTTAACGATAAAATTTGTAGTAATATCTATAATATAATTAATATAAAATAATTTTAAAATTCAACTTGGAGTCCACATCAAAGATTGGGTTGGGTTGGGTTAACACCAAAAGTAAAAGTTAACGGAATAATTAAAAAATTTACACAAATTATCATCATGATACTAAAATCTTATACTATACAATTTTTAATTTTTTTAAATTAAGAATTTATGTGAAAAAAACGTACTTTTACAAATACTCAAAGTGTGATTAGAATATTAATGTTAGAGAAAAACTAAGGGCATATTTGGTTTAAGTATCAAAAAACCTATTAAAGGAAAAATAAAAAAATTTCATAAGCATTTCATGTCCTAAATTTCTTTAAGCTGTATTATTAAGACTATCAACAAAGGGTATATTTTAATTTGTTATTAAATGCAAACTTTCTGTGTCCCTTAACTTAAGTATTATTAAATACAACATGCAATATCAAAAATAAAAATGTACATAGCACAAAAAAAAATTTATTGACGGGACTTCATTAGTTTAATAAAAATATTAATAATATGACATTTTTAATTATTGAACCAAATGTGGTTATTATAAATGTGTTATATAATATTGCAATTTGTATAATTAAATATTAATATATGTCTTCTTTTTAATGGACCGGTCCGTTTCAGATGTTATATTTATTTGAATTGACACTTAAAATATGATAATACACTATACCAAATTTATACTATTTTTATTATTAAAAAGAAGGTATATTTAACCTTTAATAATTATTAATTATTATGTATTATCATATTTTAAGTGTCAATTCAAATAAATATAACATTATATTATAATCGTTTCAATTAACTGAACACGCATGGTAATAGGAACTATTTAGGAGGGTAATGGATATAGTATAAAACAGTTATTCTTATTATACAGAGTGTTCAGTAAGTCAGGAAACGGGTTTCTATTGTTCTCGTTGTTTGTAACAATGAGAACAATAGATACCCGTTTCCTGACTTACTGAACACCCTGTATATAGATGGGTAAGGTAACTATAATATAAAGGTATAGCAACCATAATGTATCAACCTATCTATTATAATAGTTTCAAACAAACTAGTATGCTATCACAAGACTAACCCTAAGTTTTGTGTTGGAATAACCATATGAACGGTTAATTCAATTATCCTTATTTTTTGTGTATCAAAATTATAAGTATGAATTTATCAAAAATAAAAGAAAGTTCGCTTTTTTAATTCGATTATTCTAATATTCTTTAATTATTATTTCAGTTATAAAATTTAAATTGTAATTTATCATAAGCTGTCGGAGGTTAGAACTTATTTTTGGTAAGAGCAGGCCCTTCCTTTTAACTTATTAGGTTGACATTAAAAGCTGAAAAACTTTCCTTGAAAATATCTATAACTAATATTTAATACTTTTTATTATTATTTCGTATGTGAAATTAAATGAAGATTTTTACCCTCTTCTTTATGACTATATCGTTAAAAACCTAAAATATAATCATAAATAATTGAAAAAAAATAACACGAAAAACAGTATTTTTTTAAACAAAAATAATATTTTTATAAGTAGAAAACCAGTCGTCGGGACTAAGGGTGGCATACCCTTAGTATTTAAAGCTTAAGGTATTTATAAAAAAAAATTTTTTAAATTATCTATTTTTGAAAAACTTATGACAGTTTTAAGAAAAAAGTTTGAAAATTGTCGAAATTTAAAAATTTTTAAAATCGTAATTTTTTGAGATTTTTCCCAATTACGGGAAACGACGAAATTTTGTTTAATTTTTGAGGGTAATGTCTATCAACTAAATACGATTTGTAATCTTTTGACGTATCGTTAAAAAAAATCGGTTCAGTGAGGCCTCAGAAAAAATATCGACTCATCATGGTGAAGTTATACAATCATAATGCTTTGTATTGAAGCTACAACAATGTCGGTTTACCTATTGTTTTAAAGAAGATATTTCTAAATGTATAATATTATTTTTCATGTGACGCATATAATTAATTTTAACAGAAAAATTTCATATTATTGTGATATAAATTGTGTTATCACTAATATTATTGCAATATTAAAACTTATTTTTTCTATTATATGATTAAAAATAAAATTATCATGTTAAATACAGTATACACTTATAAAGGATATATTTAATGTTTAATTTAGTTGAAAATATAAGCTTTACATATACGACAAAAATAACTAGTAAGAAGAATAAAAGATGCAATTATTACATTATATAAATATTTTTTTTTTGAGAGAGAGAGATTATCTCACAATCTTCAAAATATGTATATCTCTTTAGAACTATAAAATAAATGTTTAATATCATAAGATAATTATTTTGCTAGCAGTTTATTAATTCTTGTCTTACAAATACAAATATCGCTAAAATATTATTATTTCAATGATATTTTTATATTTCAAGTGTTTTAATTAAATAAAAATATAAGCCGTACAAACCTAAGTTAATTGTTATAATTATAATTGCGTATGGTTAATTTGGTGAAATAGGAACGTTTTAACCTTTTAGGACCGTATGGGATTAAATAGGATTGTTTTAAATGTAAATATTTCGACGGTCGTATAAATGCGGTTGTTGTGTTAAAATACTTACATAGATTATATTCGAACAACAAGGGTACATATTAATTACTGAATAATTTTCACGTATGTCTAAAGTCATAATATACGACAAAAATGTGGCAATGTTGTAGTAGATAACTATTTGTTGTCATTAAAATAAAATATTACGTAACTAGCATGTTAGTTTTATTAAGATTAGAAAAATAAATAAAACAGATATACATATATAATAAATATATATAATATATGTATATATATTGAAACGAGATGTTAACAAAAATAAAAAAACAAGAAAGCATTAAAAAATGATTTAATAACTTACTAGAAAAGGCATGCAAGATGTTGGTCAGTAATAAACAGTAGAAATACAGGTATTATATAAAGGAAATTTATGCCATGATTCATAATTAAAAAATTCGTTCTATTATCATGTTAACAGATCCTAAAATAAAATTACTAGACTGATAACAACAGAAATAATAGCTATTACATTTTTGCTTATCAATTTAATTTTCACACTATCTAATTCGAATAAATTTCGAATTATTCATGATGATGTTAATAAAATCAGAGACGTCCTACAGGTTTGGAAAGCAAGGCCCTACACTTTTTTGTTAAGTTGGACCTTTACGCTTAAAAAAAAATTATGTAGATTATATCAAATTACTATAAATTACTAAAAGAACGGCCCTGGATAAAATATTTTGTAAAATTTGAAGTCTTTATACAATAGAACGGGGAGAGGAAGATGAGAAATTTTTATTTTAATTTACACAATAAATTAGATTAATTACAATAGAAAATATAGTGCCATTATATACGTTTTCAATTTTGGACGCTATGCCACTTTACGTCTAACAATGTAACACAAGATATTTTTTAAAATTAAAAATAAAATTATATTGAAATAAAAAAATATATTTACAAATAAAACACCTAACTATTCCATGTAATTTATTTATATGATTCCATTCAGTTAAAACAATAATCTACTAAATATTAATTAATTTACTAGTATTTAGTAATACTATTAAATTATTTGATTTTGCTAAAATACCCTACTTGTATAATTTATATACTAAGAAACACACAACTGTTAAAATAAAACAATAAATAGTATATACTATATATATATATATATATATATTATAAAATATATGTATTTAACAAAGTTAAAATTAATTTTATATATAATTTAACTAAATAAAAATAGGATGACATTCATAATGGACGGAATGGTTTTACAAGATCTAATTTTTTTTTTAAACAGTCTTACATAGTATTACCAAACAACATTAAATTACTTTAATCTTATATAAATATTTTATAATCTATAAAATATAAAAATATTTCTTAAAAACTGTAATCGTTTTGATTAATATAAAATACTACATTTTTAAATTTAAATTGTTGATAACCAAAATATGTTTCATAACTTATGCTTTTTAACATTTTTTTAAAGAGATTAAATTTTAGTATAATATTAATATAAAAATTACAATAATAATAAGTTATAATTATTAATAATAAAAATTATTCTGATTACAATATAATTGAGTAATAAGAAGCAAAAAATATTTTAGTCAGCATTACAAAAATAAATATTATAAAAACTTAGTCAATAAATGGTGGATTTTATAATTAATTGAAAAAAAATATTTACATGATTGAAATACTTTGGTGGTTTTCATTTAAAGTAATTTTATAAATTAAACAACATTCTTAATGTGCCGAATAAAAAAAAATATGCTTAAGAGTACAATTAAAAGATTTGAAGAAGTTGACAAGTTGGCTGAATTACACCAATGATCAAAATAGCAAAAGCACCATGTAGTTGATGAAAAATGATCTCTGTAAATAAATATTAAGTAGATATAATGAGTATTGACTTTTTAAGATAAATGAAGTATATTAAAAAATTAAAAAATTAAAATGCTATGTAAAAAAAAGAAAAATTATACCGCTTTATATCCAGTTCAGAGATGGAATTATTTACATAATGTCCTAATTTTATATCAGTTGCACTTTTCCTACAACCTTCATACTTATCGGCAGGAATATCTGTACGAAAACCTTTTAAAGAACTTAAACAACCTCGAGTTATAATTTCATCAGCTGAAATAAAAAATAATCAATGTTATAACTAAATGTATAAAAATAACTTAAATTCATAAAATAATATTATTATTATTATATTTTATAGTAGCTTAATATAAATAAAACAACACAAAGTTGTATGAATTACTCATTTTTAATTTATTTTTGTGACATTTAAAAATATTTATAAGTTGTTAAATAATTTAGTATGACACCAAACTTCAAAAAGAATTTAGAAGGAATACAGTTTGCTACTTCTTGACTCTATCCTAAAATTCCTCAATAAATACATATCATATTTTAACTTTTTAGAAAATATAATTTAAATTTTAAAAAAATGTATTTTATTTTTAATTTTAGAGAAAACATTTTTAATTCAATGCATTTATATTAAATATAAAAAGTAAAAATTATAATTGTACATACATATAGGACTATTTGTTTAATTTCAACGTAACAATAATTAAATAAATTAAAATTAAAAAGGAAATTATACATTCTATAGGTACAGTCATTTAAAAAGATGTATTAAAATTTTACATTGTGGTACAAACAATTAAAAATTTAAAAAAGTATCATCAAATTTTTATTTATTATAAGAATAATAACTCCAGAATAATTTAAATTTTAAATTTTGCCATCAAATATTTCTTAAATATTTCTTAAATAGTTACATAATAAATAATATAAACAAAAAACCAACATCAAAATTAGATTAGGCTTCTCTTGAATTTATAAAATAATTTCAATAGAAGTGCAGTAATAAAGAGATTAAAAAACAAACAAATATATTACAATCATTATTACCTCCATTTCTTTCAATAACTTTAACACATATATCATCTTCTTCAGGACATGAAACAGACTTATACCAAAGCCATTTAAATGGTGTACCACAACCTGGATGTGTTGACACACAATCATAGCAAAGAAGATAACCATGATCTGTGAATAGCATATTAATTAAAATCAAAAAAGTAAAGAAGTCTTTATAAAGTAAATTATTTATAAAACCAATGAAAGACCACTCCCTAAATTTTAACATACTTGAAAGAACCATTGATGACAACAAAACTGTTAAAAACAACATATTTATTACGAAAATTCCTTAACTTAATCAACAATTTTGAACAAATATTTAATAATAGGATGACAAGTAAATAATTGAGATTTCTTTAATTACTATCATACAAAAATATTCAAATAAAATTTCACACTACATAAAGAATTCGTTATTATCATCATTGTGACTAAACGGACTTCCATTATCCAACCTCTAGCAAATAACAACAGGTCAATTGATAACTCTCAGTCTGACCAAATAACACATAATACATTTAATACTTAATTTATCATCCAACTTCAATATGCAATAAATATTTAAGTGTTAATTATAATTATATATTTATCCTCTACTAAATATTTAAGTAATTAATTAATATTAAATTATTTAATAAATAAAAGTATAAATGTTTATATTTATTTATAAAAACAACTTGCTTTTTATGGTGAAAATACTTCTATGCAGATTTAAGGCGTCAAAATACAACGTTTAAAATAAATTTAAAATAAATTTTTTACAATTTATAATTTTTAGTAATTTTAATAGATCAGAAAATATGTTCACCATAAATAATTATTGCATTTCAATTACCAAATTTTTATAAGTAATTTGTAGTTAAGATTTTAAAATTACCTAATATATATAATAATAATTATAATACTTTTTATACAAACATTTTTATTTCACTAACTTATTTTTTAATTCCAAAAATATTATATATAGTTTATTTATTTAAATTTGATTGTAATCCTAATTAGGAGGAAAATTATAATAAACTGTTAAAAAAAAAATGATACAATAAATTGTACCCAAAAATTTTAACACATTTCACAATTTATTTTTATCTCTATGAATTATTTTATGTTATTATATACAAATTTTATGTCTATAAACCTACAATACCGCTTCTATCATTTTATTGTTTGATTTTGCTAGAAACAACGAGGGCGTGGTTGCAAGTAGAGTATCCCGGATACCAGACTAAGTCCTGCGAAAACGCGCGCGCATCTTTCAACTGCAAGGACCTAAGCTTTTTTCATTTTCCTACTGATGCAATCGACTACTGTTTATCCTGTCTGGACAAACGTTGCTTGCGCACATGTGGTGCAATTCACATTAAGGCCAGGAAGAGAACAATAACAAACTAAATTTAATAATAATAATAATATTTATTTTTTACGATTATTACTATATTATTTCTTATTTTATTCCCCCGCTGTAGTCATGTTAGAACGTTAACATGCCTTTCATACCTGAACAATATCAAATAAATACTGTAAGTACAAAAAATCAAACTATCATCAAATATATTGATAAATATGAAATTAATAAAAATTTACATTGAGTATCTACTTATTGTTTTTAAGATAATATATGTTTCATTTACATATTAATAAATTTTAATATTTATATGTAATAAAATTAATAATGAAGAAAAAAACTGTTTTGATTTTGACTGTACTATAGCAAATTATTATTTTAATATACAAAAATATATTTGTTTATCAAAATATTTTATAAGAAGTGTCATAATTAGGGCTTTGTTATGAAAGGGAATGTATATAAGAAAAATGTTCACAACCTATTACAAAGGTAATCAAATTGTATTTTCATCATGTAATTATTTTTTTAATGGGAGATATAATAACCATATCCCCAGTGTAATTATACCAGTGGTTTCTATAGTTGGTCGTTAATGCTATCACGATAAAATATTTATTGGTCCAGAAGGATTATCTTTCTATCGTTTTGCCCAATAAACGTCTACTAGTCAACCAGTTTTACCTTTCAGTGATTATTTAAACTAAAAAGCTATAGTAGCAAAATTGTGTTAACTAAATTTAAAATGATACTATTTTTATGTCGATGTATTGAAGTACAATTACAATTAATTGTTATTCCCAATAGAAGTTTTTATGAAGGGTAAAATTATAGAGATAGAATATACATTATAACAAGTTTGAATGAATTAGATTTTTAAATCGAGATTATTTCTATTTCTTATTATTATATGTTAATTTCAAGTTTGATTTTCTTTGGTTTTTTCTTCTTAGATTTTTGTATACAGAGTGATTTTTTTATCATAACCCACTCAATTACTTGCAGAATAATAATAATTTAAACATTTTTTTTTTCATTATCTTTAGTTACACATTATTCTTGAATTTTTAACTATGTAATATTTTTTAAGTTCATCCCTTATGCCTTGGAGGGGGGTCAACTTTGTTTTTTTAAATGGTAACACATATTTTTAATTTAATAAAATGTTTGAGTTTTAAATTTAATAGTAAATGGAATTTGAATTTTTAATATAACTTAATTCGTTTATTAGATATAATCATTTAAAGTTTCAAATTTTTGAATTAATATACAGGTATAATACACAATGGATTACAAATATAGGTAGCTAATTGGTTTTTTATAACATCGATATTAGCAGGTACACAGCATTGTTATTATCCATTGTAGTAAGGCACATTGTTATGAGTTTATAAATACACTAACAAACAATACAGAAAGTATATCTATTGATAATCATAAATGATAATAAACAATCCGTCACTGAGACAGCAATGTCCTAAAAATCCAATTAGCTACCTGTATTTACAATCCCATGTGTATTATACATGTATATTAACTCAAAATTTTGAAACTTTAAATGTTTATATCTAATAAGCTAATAAAGTTATATTAAAAATTCAAATGCCATTTACTATTAAATTAAAAACTCAAACATTTTATTAAATTAAAAATATGTGTTACCATTTAAAAAAATCATTTTCGTATCAATTACATTATTTTATTAGAAGCTCTAGTTATGCATATTTTTTCTTAAAACAAAAACTACTGTTTTTAGCTTCGATGCGATTTTATTTTTAGAATAATTTGTAAGTCACTTATTGTGAAATGCAAAATATCACGGTTAATTTAATTTTCTAGGAACATATTTTAACGATAGGTATATATTTTTCTCATTAACTTCACTTTAAGAATCATCTAGAATAACTGTACCAAAGAATTGAGACGTATTTATCGACCTAATTTCAGTAAAACAATGCGTTATAAATACTCAAAACGTAGTTAATTATAATTAATTGATTTGCGAAACTAATAATATTAACTTTTCATTATTGGCTATAGAAAAAATTCAATGCAATTGAATTATTTTTATACAAACCAGCTTATTGGAATCAAAAATAGAAACCTAATAATGAATAAAAATGTTATAGTTATGTAATAAGGTATTTAACGAGCACACCGGTGCATCTTAATTGTCTATTTGACGCGCCCGCATTGCCTTTTCACCAAACGTTTTCTCGATGTTTCTTACATATAAACAATAAAATTACAGTTGAATAATTGTACATACAAACAAGATAGATCAATCGATCTAAAATTTACAAAAATACACTTTAACGAATTATGAGCTTGATATGATTTATTATTTTTAGAACTACACTAAACTTAAATTATAATAATGCAATAAATATTTTTAGCAATATGTTCGTGATACTAAGTTAAGCGAGGCATTTCAATGGAAAGAAACTTGGAAGTGTTTTACTTTAACCATTATTATTGTCATATACAGCATTGGTGTACTTCGAGATCCATCAAATGTAAGTTAATTTACATAAAACAATGATTTACGTAATAATAATACTGACTAAATTATACTGTCACCTGTCGTTAAATTTCAGATTGGTTTGACCAAGGGAAGTTCGTTGTCACTTGAATACATTTACTGTGTATTAGGATGTCTATTTTTGTACATATTATACCTAGTAGAATGCCGATACAGCGAGATCGTTTGGGATTTAGCCGAAACCGAACCTATGCCACTCTCCGCATTGTCCGAGTACATCGTCCGATTAAAAAGAGCTGAACCGCACGTATGGTAAATGTCTTATTCGCTATTACTCTATTGTGAAAGTAAACATGCAGATAAATAATTAAGGTCCCTGTTTATATTTTTTTTGACCACCACTTCCATAATTACAAATGAAGGAAAAAGAAAAAAGAGCTAAATAGGGACGTCATATCATGTTTTACTGGAGTGAGACAAATTTTTGACCGGTTCGTTATTTTATAAAGCGCTTGCTTCTCCGTCGGTTTCTATCAACTCTCACCAATTGCACATTATGAATAAATGCCATGACAGAACTTTTTCTAAAATCATTTTGACAATAATAAATATTTAGGCCACTCAGTTCAGCCGGAAAAAAGAGAAATTGACTATTAAAATCGGGTTTCTTTTGTATTTTAAACAATTGAATACGAAGTATTAGGTATCTTTTTCATTGAATAAAAGTTCATTTTCACTACATTTCTTAAATTTGTAATTATAGATTGGTTTTGAAAGAGGAATAAGTTTGTCCAAAGTTTGGTTTAATTAGCAAGAGTGCGAATTGAACAGCTCTAATTTACATTAAAATTAAACAGATCAAGCGACGTTCGCGGGTCTACATCTTTTTTTAATGCCATTTTATGTTTTTATGAACCATTACATAATCATTTTTCAAATGTTTTCCAAAAGCTTTCGCGAAAACATGGTTTTTTCCATACCAGCTAGTTTAGCATAAACCAGGACCGCTCTGACCAGATGTTCAAAAACAAGGAGTCGAATTTAAATGTAAATAAACTAAAAAAAAATTCTTAAATTGACTAAAATCAATCGATTGAAAAATTCCAGGGATAGCAAAATTTTTACATAAGGGTGCCTAAAATGGCGTAGCCTTGACCAAAGGCATTTCCAAAATTAAAATTTTAGAACAGACCCGATTGTATTTATTATAATTTTAACTCCATGTATTTTTTTTATCATTATTTGAGAATTATATTATATCATATATCATTATTTGAAACATTTCATGGGGCCTATCAGCATACACCCAGAGAAAAACCTCGATCTATATAATAAATTCATTGTTCAATTTGATAAATATATCATAGGTTCAATAGTAATGATATATTTATCAATATGATAATTTTTTTTCTTGTCTTGAACAATAATTATTTATAAGAATAATTATTTTGTTCGTATTAATAAAACATTATCATAAACCTTTGATAAAGTTTCTCTATCAAAATTGATTGAGGTTTTTCTTTGGGTGTACATCTACCTTTACAACAGACGCAACTAGGATCGTTACTGTCATAAACTCAAGAAAAGAATGACCAACTTACATTTATCACATTTCAATGAATTTCAATTTTCATTTTCATTTATCTAAATTATGATATAATTGAGATTTAAAATGAAAGTTTCAATGGACAACTAATTAACGCATTTAGCCAATAACCTACTTTCTTCTTATTTAAGCTCTTAAGCTTATCGGACAAATATGTCAAAGTGTTTATTAAAATTTTGGTTTTAATTATAACATAATATTTCGTATTTCAGGTGGCAAGCATCATGTTATCACTATACTGAACCAAAATTGACAAGAAGGCGGAATCTTAGACAATTAACCAGGGTAAACATGCACGTAGCTAGAGTTTCATTTGACCATAGAAACTTCGGACACACTGATATATCCGACTATCTTATTTTTCACCAGAGAAGTCCTCTCGTAAAAATTGAGTTTAGCAAAGGTAACTAGTCACAATTTTTTATATATTTGCATTAGGTAAAAATATGTACAATACTTAAAATGAATATATATATTAAAATGATAATATATTATCATTATTTACGTATTTTATTTTTTAATAATCAGGTTTTGCTTTTGCTCGACCTCGTCACGCAGAAGAGTTTGAAAGCGCGCGAAACGAATTTTTTTCGGCTCACGAGTCTATAGATGAGCACATGGAAAAAAAAGAAGGTATGGACTTGGCTGGCGTCGAGTTTGATGAGTACATTAGTGCAGGGCGGTTTCCTCGATTAGTTAACACCATTACGTACTGGCTGTGCTCATTTCTTTTACTTTCGTGGCCTTACAGGGTGTATGTCAATTACAATACGTCATATGCAAGTTATACTGTCACCAAACTGTTTGGACAAGTACGCATGATACCTAGCTACTCAGAGACAATGCTCATCGATCCTGCACCTCCAGCATACGTGATAGATTGCCCTTCGCCGTTCGACATGTATGAAATGTCACAGACGATGACTATTTTTCGAACGTGTTCTCCTAATTACGTGCCAACAAATCTAGTTAGGTACATAGAGTCCGGGCCATATGCGTTCCCCCCTTCGTATGAGGAAGCGCTAATGTGTCCGTCGTTCGAACCGTCTTCAGTCGACATCGATAACCGTTCCAGTAACAATAATTATAATACTCACGGGCGGAGTACTGGTGGTCGATATCCCGCAGCTGTAACGTTTGAGACTAGCCTGTGATTTCCCATTTAATAATATTAAATTTTTATTAATCTTTGAGAAATGTTTATATTATACACGTTCCTAAATAATTTTATTGCTGATATAATATCATTAATTTTTTTTATGTAAAAAAAAATGATATAAGTACTATAAAAGACAACAAGGCTCTTGTTAAAGACGCATAGCTAAAAATATACTGTTTGTTTGAAATTATGGTGGCTAAACCCTCCAATTTAACTTAAATTTATTTTAAAAAATAATAGTTTGATAAAGTATTAAAATTAATTATACTTGAAAAGTATATAATTTTTTCGGAATACAAAATTTATTTTGAATAATGCTTTATTATACTAAAAATGTTCAATATAGTGAATATATAGTGTAAATTGATATCAAAGAAAGTTATTTTAAATGCGACTTAAAATTTTAAAGAAATAATACTCTTCTTTGTTGAAATATATCGCACCAGCCATTAACTCAGGTTCCAATTAAGGAGAACCACACCATAAAGGAACATCAACGCTTAAAACACCTCAAGGTGAAAAATTCTGGTAAGATGTATTTTTCTGTAATTATTAATTGGATATTTAGTATTTTTAATGAATGATAATGACTAGTAATGAGCAAAATCGAGTCTTGCAAAAATTGGATTAACACTAGCAAATTCTAGTGATAGTTAAGTTGACGTTAAATGAAGTTATATGACGCTCTTAAGAACGTGTTTTTTTTAAAGGAGCAAGATTAAGACCAAAATATGATAGGTAAGACCAAGAATGAATTTGCAAATTAAGATCCAGATCAAGACTTAGTTGATAAGAATAAAACCAATATTGTCAAAATCTTAGTGTTGCTTTGCTCATTACTAATGATATACTATAAGCAGGGCGAATCCAGAATTTTTTTAAGGGGTGGCGCAAAAATTATTTAAGACGTTTAAATCAATTTTTTTTTGGAAATTTTGTTATTCAAAAGACCTTTTTTTTTATAAAAGGTGACAATAATCGAAGAGAATAAGGCACTCCCCACTAAAACTGTCACTGTACAATATTAATACTGTCATCAATTCTTCCTACGATACTGCCAAATATAATAAACCCAGCATTCGTTATCACTGCTTTATACTTTAATTAAATTGCAATAAGATTTTAGTTTTAAACACATTTGTTTTTTAGTAGTAACTGTTATAATTATAAAATTGTGTTATTCTCATAAGCATTGAAATTTTCAAGTTAATACTTTTAGAGTTTCTAGTTGTTAATTATCTATTATTTTGAATTATTTTTTAGCTAATGGTTAATCAAAATGTGCTAAAATAATAGTTTTAATATTTTTTTCACTTTTATAGTTGGATATTATTTAGAAAATTGGGTTTATTATTCATATAGACAATTTATCTTCTGAATGCCTTCTAAATAATAAATCTTATTAAGTTTATGTTTATTAATGAATATTAATGTTATTTTGGTATTTACCAATTTACTGTGTTGATCTCACATATATTGTACTGAAAACTATTGTAACTTAATTAATAGTATTAATGTGTTGTCTTGTGTGATATAATCAAAAATAAAACAATTTTACTGTTACAGTGTCTTTCTTTTTTTCTTTTAACATGTTAAAGCTTATATATGATGTACAGCAATATCATCTGCAAAACGCAGCATTTAAACTAACATTTTTCCTATCTGATTTTGCCAACATTTTCATGTCAGTTTTTTTTAAAATTTTTTTCTATATATAAATTTTGTCACCCACAAAGTAGGTGACAAATTACAACTTTTTGTATTTTGATCTCTTCATATGTACTGTTATCACCAATTAACAAAGCTTTTTCATTAATATATAGTTTATATAATCATCTATTGTTTATAAAGTCAATGCCTATCTGATCCATTATACATAAAAGTTTTTCCTATCTCACATTGTTAAATGCCTTATCCAAATCTACAAAGGCTATATGTATAAAGCGATTTATTTACTATGTACATTTTTTTAGTATAAGATATAGAAATAAGTTTTTATTCCTTTTTGTAAATAATAATAATATTACTTCTTTGTTATCATTTGACATACATTCTTGTCTTTCTTTCTTTTGTAAAATACCATTTGGCATTAAATAATTAAATTAAAATAATATATATATAAATAACTGTATATCTATCTTTTATGCATTACTACACAATTCAATCATGACACTTAGGGAAGTTTTGTGTACATAGACAAGAACGTTTTTGACATAATACATCAGTTTTATGATAGGTGACAGATAGCAGCAAGCGCAATGGCAAAATTAATAATTAATAAAAGTTTAAATACATATATTATTAAGATAATAGATTATAAAGATATATTTATAAAGATTGCCTAATAAAATTTATTGATTTAAATTAGTTATACATCATAAAAATGAAAAAACAAAATTATAGAGTATTTACAGGATCAATTTTTAGAGTAATAGGAAGGCGATGATTTCTTTTATTGATATAAGGTTCAATTACTTCACTTGGTAAACAAAATATATCCTTATTTTGATGACTATTATTCAATATTTCTTTTATTTCAGAGTAGGGAAATGTTGGGCTAGTGTATGTTAATTTTTGGGATACAGTTTCATCTTCTTGCTTTTTACTTAAAACGATAGAAAAATTGAATTTTTTTGCTTTAGACAATTGTCCTATATAGTTTACTTGACTGCAAATAAGAAAAAGTTACAAAATAAGACTAAAATACTATAAATTTAATACTTAGAAAAAGTTAAAATGGTCATATTTTTTCTATTTATATTTTTTAATTAATAAAAAATAATAAAAAAGCTTACGCTTTAATTCGTTTAGGGGGTCCAGAAATATTGACAACAACTACAAAATGTTCTTGATGTGCAGATAAAAACCATTTTGTTGTTTGGTTATTGTTTATTATTATATCAAGAACCTGAAGATAAATAAAATTTAAGTTAGATTAATTTAAAAATATTTTTTATAAATATTTACCTGTTCCTCGCCAGTGAGTATATGAGAGTTATGATGTTGTGTCATATGGACATGGAATTCAGGATAATATCCTTTCCAAGAGCAGTTATTAAAAATACAAGGATAATGGCGATAGCCACATTCTAGTTCATGTTGATCTTTTTGTCCAATAAATAATTGCTCCTTACAACCAGTGAGTGAATTTTTACAAGGAAATTTTAACAAGTATCCAACCTAAAAACGCAATACTTTTTTAATATCAATAGTATTTGTGCTTAAATAAAATAAGAATCACTTACTTTTTCCATACATAAGTTACGTTTTGTATTAAAAGGATTGCGGCATGTTGGACAAATATCACACATATGTTTACAAGAACGACAAATTATATGCCCCATACAACATTGATAAACAGGTGGTATTATGTGTTCAAAACATACTGGACATTCAAATAAGCGAACTAACTGTTCATTTAATTCTTGATATGTTTGAGGATGTTCTTCAACTTGAACTGAAGGTACTAATTCTTCAGTCGCTCTACATCTTTTAAACATACAATAATCAAATTAAAACAAAACAATTGATAAAATAAATTACAATAAAAATCCTCACTCATCACTTCCATTTTCAGGACTCCTAGAAGAACGAGTTGAATTGGAATTTAAAAGATTTGTACCACTTGGACTATTTACTTCATTTAAATCAGTAGCATCATAACTTTGTCTTAATGTTTGGGGTGGACCATCATTGTTAGAATGAACAGGAGACAATCTAGATGTATTGCGAACAGGAGATATTCTAGATGTATTACTATTTCAACCAATAATAAACATTAAATTAGATTTTTGTAAACATTTTATCACACAATTCAATTTTTGTGTTGCTCAGTTTTATTTAAAATAATTTTTATAATAATTAATACTCACTCAAGTTCTATTGTTAGTGAATTACGATCATCATCTTCATCATTATCAATATAAGATAGAGATCTAGGAATGCTATTGTTAATCCTCGAAGAACTAGGAGGTGTGCTTGATTCTCTAGGTAAACCAAATGAAACCGTGGGAGTTGAATAATCCAACACTCTTGTTATTCGTCTAGATAAGTTTGATTCTTCATCCAGATTGGATCTATTTTCTACATCTCCATTTGATTCATTGTTTTCTGAAACTACAAAATCGGATAATCTCCTTTCAGTACTTGTCTCCATGTCAGACGACAAACTAGAAATGCTGTCATGACCATGACTAAATTTTTAAAAACAAAGATGTAAAATCAATTTTATTAACAAAATTATTATCATTTATAAAATTTACTAACTAAACTTCTTCAAATGAATTATCACGTTCTATTTCATCATTTTGCACAGTAGGTAATTCTTGTTCAGGAGTTGGTGATCGCTCAATCTATAATACACAAACGCATAAAAAAATATAAACGTGTTTGAATAATTTATATTGTTAACATTAAAAACATTAAATCTAAAGTATTCTATTGAAATTAAGAATATAAAAATGCTAACATCACTGAAATTTTGGTTTGTTGATGAGAAACGAACACGTCTATTTAGTGGTCTAATTGGACTGTCTAGATAGTTTCTTATTGAATATGGATGAGGTATATATCTTCTAAATCTTCTACCAGAACTAGGACATCGAGGAGTAGTAAATTGTAAAGGACTATTTGAATTATTAACTGAATCGTTGGTTAAATTATTTGTATAGGGCAGCATATTTTCTACTTCTACATGAGAAGACTGAATATCTGGTATTTCAGTTCCTAAAAAATGTTAAACATAAAAATACTAATATACATTTATGTATTTTAAATCAATTTTTCATTAAATGTCTTATTACATAATAGTAAAAAATTATAGTGCTATAGATTAATAGTTCCTTTTAATAAGAAGTACTGAAACGAGACATGACCCTGAAGTAAGAATTCAAAACTTTTTGAATTTTAAACAATTATTTTCTGAGTACACATTAATGTTGAATGGTTTGATTATACACAGCATAACAATTTACAACAATGTAGTTTAATTTATATATATTACTTATTTAAATAAAATGTATAAATTCATGTTTTAATATTTGATTTCAAGAATCAAATAACCAAGTTATAAATGATCATTGTGGAAAAGTAACAAATAAACAAAAATACATTAAGTTAATGATTAGATATATTAAAGAAGAATAAAATAATCGTTAAAGTAAGTAGATTCAATTAAACAAAGAGAGTCAATCTAAAGAAAAATAGTAACACAAACATGTCTAAACCTTTTTCATGGGTCATACTTGGCTTAACAGTATAAAAACATTAGCTCTTCATCTTATTCTCCTACCCACAAAAATAATTTATTTATTTATTTACATTAAAAAAAAAAAAAAAAAGACGAAACAATTATATCTTCACTCAATTTTTTTAATTTTAGATGTACCTATTAAGTACACGTGCCTGTGTTGCAAGTAGTGCCCAATTATTACAGGCACTTTTTTTTAGTAATTAAATGACTAGTATTATCAAATTTGTAAATTTGATAATACTAGATTTAGTACATACAAATTTTAATGTATAAAAAATAATATTATTTTTATTACTATTTTAATTAATTCAAAAATAAGTGAAAATACTTTTTTATAGATGTAAATTAACATGTAGCTCAAATTAAATTTACTTTACCAAAGTTAACATTTTAAACAGAATTGAATTTAAGAATTTTTATTTTATTAAAAATATATATACTTACTAGAAGTTTGTGGGTTAGGAGAACTATTTAAAGGAATTTGCCCAGCTGCTGTAACACGTTGCGTTTCAGGATCAGTAATTGTGAACCTCACATATGGGGATCGATTTCTTCCAGATTCCCCATTTGCCATATCTATAAAATAAGTAACAGTATTTAAAATGAGTAATCATTTTATAATTATTATTATAGCATTTGAAAAATGTACACTTTTAATAAAAACATACTTGTAGCTGTTGGAGATGAATTATAAGAACGCTCTGTATATCTCCAAGGGTATCTTAAACGTCTTTCATATTCACTAAAATATCGGAAATCAGTACCTAAAAAGCATCAAAATTTTTATAATAAATAAAATTTTTTTATAGATTAAACTTACTTCCTTCAAGTTGAGTTTGCCGTATTGGACTTCCTAGACTTCTAATGGGTTCCCTTGATCTATAACGAAACAGCTCATTGGGTTCAGTACTTGTGTGATCTGTTAATATAAACAAATTTAAAATTTGAGATATTTCCATATACATAAGAAAATAATGTGATATAGTAATAGGAAGTCTAGATTAAGAAGGTAGTGAATGTCCTGGGACTCATACAAGTTTTACTAGTCTATTATGAACATACAGTTTTTTTAGTTTTTATTTTATTTTTTTCATCACTTTTTTATGGTAACAATTTTTTCCATTAGGGCTCATTTCAAGGTACCGCTTGGGAACCCACATAGGTTTTAGCCAGGTCATGAATGATAGTAATAACTTTTTTTTACCGCCAATTGGAGATCCCACAGGATAAGAATGATGACGACTGCTAAATATTCTACTTGGCCTTTCCATACGGTTCAATTCTTCTAAATTCATCTAAATTTGATATTAATATATTAAGATTACAATTGTACAAACTCATAAGTTACATTATTAATTTAGTGACAACCTTATTCCAACACAACCTTATTATACTGTGTGTACTCAAATTGAATATTTTACTTACCAAATCTGATCGAATATTTGAAAATATTACATCTACAGATTCATTGTCTTCAACTGACATCTTTATGAAAAAAAGTAATTAAATTTACTACATTACATGAACTACAAAAATATACTTATTTTTAAAATTAGCATTAATTATGTTCATTTCACAATGATTTTTAAATAATCGTTAAAATATTCGAGAATGTTTTTAACAGCACTTTATAAAAACTAAAAAATAGATATTACCTTCAGATAATATCGGGGTAAATTAACTATGCAACCTGTATCATACATACATTTTTAAATTAAATATCATAATTTCACAGCATTCAGTTAAAGAAATAGGCACATATAAGATAAAATTTTATCTTATTTTGTGAATACTTTAGTGAAATTAATACGTCAGACGTACTAAGTCTGTAAACACAAAATAATATTGAATCATGTAGGAAATTGATGTTATCAATACATAAAACAGCTGATGGTGATTAGAATAAAGTTAGTGACGAACTTTAATAATATGACAATAGTAACGTTTAATGAAGTTTGTATTATTTGACAATCCATAAACAAAACCTCACATTTTCGCTTGTAATATAATTTGAATTGAAGTTATCGTGCTGCAACCCGCGCCACCAAATACGATATAGTTAAGTGTGTTGATTAAAAAAAATTTGAATTGATTTACTTTTGAAGATATTCTCTAAATTCTTTTACAAGTGAGTACATGTTTAATAATTTAAAACAATTCAATCTTTTTGGGAATTCAAATCGTTTAAAATAAATACCTCTAAATTTTCCAAGAGTCATTATCACAAACCCATACATTATTTGTAAATAATGTATTGGGCAGCGCACGTGTTCAATATTAAATTGAAATAGTTCATTTTTATTTATGATATAATTTTGAAATTTGAGACAGTTTTAGTTAGATGTTTAAGTACTAACATATTATTCTTAATAATATCTTAATATTATTTTTATGAAGAATTTTTTTTTTTTTATTGTAATAAATTATTTTCCTAAAATTATTCTAAATAATCCGTTGATAGAATATTGTGTAAATACTTAAAATAAACAAAATGATCAATTTTGGGTATTTTTAGTATTTTCTTAGAAACTAGAAAATTTTATTTTTTTTTAAGTAAAATTATTTAGTATATAAATCTACAAATAATTAACAATAAAATAATTTTTTTTACCTGGTCAACCCTTAGAATTTTACAATTTTATATATATATAGATTGATTTAAAATCTAAACAAAATGTGTGAATAATCAAATACTAAAAATTAAATAATTGACAAACATTATATTTATTATAAGAATAATTAATATTTGGGAATTTCAAAACATAATTAGTATCATTATCTTTTAGATGGATGATCAAGGTGTAACATTAGATGTCAATCCAAAGGCATACCCTTTAGCTGATCCTCAGTTAACTACAAAAATTTTAAATTTAGTTCAACAAGCTATGAATTACAAACAGTTGCGTAAGGGTGCTAATGAAGGTACATTTTTATACTTAATATTGTTTAGTTTAATAAATTTATGTTGGTTTTTAATAATTAAACAGCTACCAAGACTTTAAACAGAGGTATTTCAGAATTTATAGTTTGTGCGGCAGATGCAGAACCTTTAGAAATTTTGCTTCATTTACCTCTGTTATGTGAAGATAAAAATGTTCCTTATGTTTTTATTAGGTCTAAACAAGGTGAATAATTTAATTATAATATTTTTTCAGTAATAATAATAAGAATAATAAAATAATTTTTCAGCATTGGGCCGAGCCTGTGGAGTTTCAAGGCCAGTTATAGCATGTTCTATTACCACAGATGAAGGCTCTCAGTTACGACCTCAAATACAACAAGTTCAAACTGAAATTGAGAGACTTCTGGTTTAATTATGTTTCAATTTTTTTCTTTTTATAATAATAATTCTGGATAATGATAATTATAAAAAAATTGTATTTATTACCTTTTTTTCAAACTTAAAGACGCCATGTCCCCCCCTTTTGACAATTCCAATTGAAGTTATCATTATTTTTTATATTATTTTTATAGAATAATAAATTCTTTATATTTTGATACACTATAAAAGGGACAATTATAAACTTATTAATATTTTTCTAAAATTTAATTTTCTTATTAGATTAAAAATATTAATTGAAAAATAATATGGCCTGTATTAGTATGAATTTAGCAAAAAAAAAACAGTGTTACTATGTATATATATATATTGTGTTTTAGTTAAAGTAATTAATAAATGCTTATTGAAGACCTTATTACCTGAAATCTGTTAAGATAATTATTACTGAAATTTTGTAATACTTTATGATATTTGATGGGTCCAGTAAAACAACTTGGTATGTCTTTTTTAAAAATTATTTTTTGTTTTTGAATATTCACTGTTTTTTATGTATTTCAATATAAAACTTAAAAGATAAGTCATGGGAATAAAATTTTTTTTATTTTTATTTTTATTCACCTGTAAGCAGGTAAATAATTAGGTTTTTAAAAAATTTATATCAAATAAAAGGGAAATACCAAAGGTTTCAATAAAAAAAAAGTTATTTTGATTTGTTAATTGAAAAAGTTATGGCAGATTCAAAATTATAATTTTCCTGGGGATTTCCTCCATTTACAGGAAACAAAATTTTTCAATTTATAAGGATAATGTCTTCAACTAGATATGATTTGTAATCTTTGATGTATTGTTGAAAAAAAAAAATCGGTTGGCTGAAAGCTGAGGAGAAGTGGAGATAGACATAAACAAAAATTTAGCAAAATTAAACCTTTTTCAGCTTTGCATCGAAGTTAAAATGAATTTTATATTTAGATTAATTATGAAGATATTTAGCCGAGGAGAATTTTATAATTACTATTTATGAAAAATATCTCAGTAAATTAGTAGCTCTGGAAAATTTCTAAAAGTGGATATATCTGATGCCTTTTGAAGAGTTAATACAACAGAGACCCTTCAATTTGAGTGTATAAAATCAAACATAATAAATCAATACCACATTTATAACTATTAATGTATGTAGGAAATAAGTGTCTTGTGACCATTGATGTGAATACTAAAATGTGATTCCTATTGTTTCAGAAAATAATTAAACAAAATAGAAATCAATTTTTTAATAAATTTCAAAGCACTAAGTAAAACAATGTGAATGCTATGTAAATATTACTCATTTTTTATATATAAAAATTATTTTTTAACTTTTACACTTGAGAGTAGAACTGCATTTCCTAGCATAAAATAAAGGAATCTTTTACAGCTCTATTACATAACTGGAATAAAATATTAATATTTAAAATGACAACTGAAACCTTGGTACTTCTTTAAAATTGGTCTTTCTAAAACTTCTTTTAATAATGAAGTACTTATTCAGTTAAATTAATGTACATGTAAACTATAAATACCAGAAATTACAGAGCCCATATATTCAGATAGAAAATTATCAACCCAACTAAGACAAACATTTATTGTAAATAAAATTTTTCAAGTTAAAGCTATATAAAATTTGAAGGCTAAGCAATTAAGTTATTTTTTTTACTCTTAGGTTAGTTAAAAAGTCAAGTTATGAGTTTAAATAATAAACTGAGTTAAGTTATCTTAAAATAAATAAATAAAAAATTTTTAAGTTAAATTAGCAAGTAGTAATTTTTGATATCCATAAAAAAGTAATTTTTTTTAAGGAAGTATAAATCCATCTCCTTACAGTTTTTTTTCATTTTTTTTAAATTTCTTATAAAAATAAATAATTTTATTTCAATACAATATTAAATAGTTTATCGATTACAATTATTGAACACTAACTTAACATATAATAAAAAACCAAAGTTACTTATTGTGTTTAAGTTACTTGACAAAGAGCCTATGTATATTAAATTACAAGTTTAGCATACAAAAAAAAAATATAATGAGCTAAATTTTAAAGTCAAATCAACTTTTTAAGGCATTTTTGCACAGTCTTGCTAAATTTGCAGTAGATTATATAATAATTAAATGACTTAACAATTTCAAGCCTATGCTAATTATATATTATTCTTTCATAAATACAACAGAATTCGAGTAATCATAAAAATAGAAAAAACTATAAAGTAATATCCGATTACAAGTGTAAAGAACTCTACTAGCGTGTCAATAAACGGCAAAAATAATTTAATAAATATAATAAACCATGTTTTGAGTGATAACAGATTTCGGAAGATTGAGTTATCATAGGGACATGATTAATAAGTCATGTTAAAGATGATAAAATTATCTATATCTGTACAAGAGTGATTTTAAAACGAAATTCAAACAGTCTTGACAGTTTAAAAAAAAAAGTTAAGCTTTGAAATGCTACAATGTTTATCAAAAATCACCATGTACAGATATAGATAATTATGGCCTGTTTAATCTGATATATTGATATCTCTATAACCATTTAATCCTCCAGAATCTGTGATCATATTTTAATACACCGAAAAAATTACTTGAGTGAATTGAAGTAATAGCTAAATTTTATAGATGTTCTTGATAGGGACCAACTAAAGAAAAAAAAATTATTAAATAAATTAAATACAAATGCTTTTAAGAATTTATTCTTTAATATATGTATTTATTATACATAAAGTGACCAGATTTAATTATATATTTTTTAAAAACATAGTTAACTGAAGCAAATATTATAAAAATATTTTTAAAATAATAATAGCTATCTACATAGTAGATAAATAAACTTGTACATATTAATAATAAAATAAATATTAGGATATATAACACAAACAAAATAACTTAAAATAAATTGTAGAGAAAATTACATAATGGTAGAACATTTAAAATAAATATTTATATAGATTACTGAGAATAATATATTCTGTAATATAATGTTTTTGACCGCCAAAGACTATAAGAATTATCAAATTTTAGTAAATAAACTCCTTCACCAGGATATAAATGGCTTCCAGCATACACTTCTTTATGACAATCTCGTCGATAGACTGGTATAATAATTGATAATGGCGGGCGATCCACTAAACTACTCTTTTTCAAATCTTTTATTGTAACTCCATTTTGTTCCATTTCATGAAGTAATTCTAAAAGTTATAAGAATCTATTTAAATAATAATATTCAACATATTGCCATTAAAAATTAGTAGAAATAAATTTTATAATGATATTTTTAAGATATAATTTTTTTTAAGTTTATCTTAAGTGCACAATTCTTTAGAATTTAAACTAATTAATACAAAAAAAAAAATGTTTTGTAAAAAACTTAATGTACTTCAATTAATATTTTTTTGAAAGCATAATAAAAAAAAGTTATTAGTAAATATTTGTCTTTTATACCAAAATATAAAAGGTTGAAATGATAAAGTAATAATTATTGTTATTGCCTATTGTGTGACTAAATGTTAAATTTAAAACGATATTATAATTTTGAGTAACACTAAATTAAAAAAAAATCCTTTTTTACCTGGATTAATATTTTCTTCATCATCATCCAAATCATCATAATCATCATCTTCACTTTCTGAGACATGAACTGAAACTTGACTAGTATTAGGTTTAATCCATTCAAAGTAAACTCCAAACCCAATATCATGGTCATCAGTAGCAAATTCCCAAAACACACAATTACCCCCTTCAGCTGTAGGAACTCTGACCTAAAATATGTTATAGTAGTAATACTTCATTTAGTATGAAAGTTAATATAACTAATTCTTATGTTTGTTCATAATTAAAAAGACACGATAAACTGAAGTATTTATTAGTATGATTAATTTTAAATACATATAACTATAACTAAATATATTTCTACAACTTCATATTGAAACTTACAGTAACTGTTTCACCGTGATTAATTTTTATAACTGCTTCTCCTCCTTCTCTTAATAGATTAGATTTAAAAACATCAATGTCTTTTCTAGTCCACATTGATGCAGGATATAATGTTTGAACTGAACCTATTTTAAATATATAAACACAATATCAAAATAGTATAGAACTATGTAATAAAATAATAAATTAGTACATTCTCCAGATAGACATTGTCCATTTTCACACTTCTCACTACATGCACTCTCATTTTCATTTTCCTTTTCAACAGGAGCAGAAATAGCATTTGCAACTTCAATCTCTTTTCCAGGTTCATAATTTTGTTGCAACTGTTGCATGTATTGATGATAATGCTGTTCTTGAAGTTGTCTTACAAGAATAGCTTGCTGTTAAAAAAAAAATTCAAATAATAATAGCTAATTTTATATTAATGAAAATTACAGTCTTACTTCATCTGGATTACTTGGAAATTGATTTTGAGCATAAGTTAAAAATTGACTATAAGTTTGTTTATTTAAAGCTTCTTGAATAAGCTGTCTAAAATAAAAAAAAATAATACATGAAATAATGATTTAAAATTTAACAACATATTTTCTTTTAACATAAATAAACACAATAGCATGACTAAGAGTAGGATAAAATTATCAAAATGAGAATATAAAATAATTAAATTTGTATTTATAATAAATACTTAAGTATTTAAAATCTAGGTTAATGATATGATTTTAATTTTAAAGTACTATTATTATTACTTTGTATTTTCCTGTCTTTGCCTTTCTTCTTCTTCTTTTTGTTTTAAGTCCATAAGAGCAAACTGTTTTTCTAGTTCTTCTTGTTCTTTTTTAATTTTTTCTTCCCTGTAAATTTTTTAAGTTATTGAATAATAAATCATACTAATCAATTCTTAGTTGACCATAGTAGTAATAAAAAAAAATGTTTCTCTTTTAATGTTGATTTTTTTTTTAGGACTTTTAAAATTATTAGTTATGAAGAATGTTAAGGTCTGTCCAATCTCATAGCGTTCTACTATGCACACATATAGTGAAGTTATAGAAATTAAAGTTCAATATTGAAGCTGAACACATAAACTACTAAAATACTTATACAAAAATTAAATACTTGTTATCATACTTACATAATTCTTTTTTGTTCAATTAAATCTGCTTTGTAAGCTTCAATAGTATGTTTAAATAAAGCACATTCTTTATTGACCAATTTCACAAAATTTATCATAGAGTTTTCAGTTGACATATCACCTAGTGCTTGCCAAGCCAATCTATAATATAAATTAAATTTTATTAACAAATTTATAATATAATCTATAATTCTAGTTTTATTTATAGTTGTATTGGATTTTTTAAATAAAAAAAAATTAGATGATAATCATATTTCAAAACATATTAAGTTTTGTTTTAATAGCTAAATTTTACCTTCTATCTCTTCCTATGACATCGAATACACCCAATGGTGGTAATTTTGATTCATCCAATTTCCCATGACTTACTTGTCTTGTATAAGCAACAAGTTTAAGTTTATCATCATATGTGAAATGAATAGCTTTACCTTCTTTTTCTAAAACAATATTAATTATTAAATAAATGGTTCATCACTTTAACATTAAATATTTAACTTGAATAACTATAATAATTTCCCCAAAATATTTGTATACGAATTTCTTCTATATAAGAAAATAACATATAATATATCAAAAATATCAAAGTTTCTACACTTTTGATAGTTTTAACAGTTTTATAAAAATATAAATATAGTTCCATCCGTCACATTAAAAAATCACATTTTTTAGAATTGTACTTTAGTATAATAAAGAGTAATGATACTTGATTGTGACAATATACTTCACCTACCTTTAAAAAATTTCAGTGCAAGGCTATAAAGTTCTTTTAAAGGTAATCCCCATTTTTCGACAAGATCGTCTTCTTTTGAGTTGTTACACATTTTTTGGTAATTACTATTTACAATAAAATGCTAGAGTCCAAGGGATATTTTTTATGTTTTGCGATTGATAACTTTCAAGTTATATAATCAGGATCAAGATTCCTTGTAAAATGTTAACCTAAGTAGATAGTTCCCAATTTTCGTAATTAATTATATAGATACAATTTTCGTACATAGTTTATCATTTTTGTTATTGATAATGTAGTTGTCTGCTATGTAGAATTACTCTGGCTAAATAGTTTACTCTTATCATTATGCAGCGTTATATTACGTTTAAGGTTAAACGAAGTCCACTAGCCAATAGTCTAATCATTCTTACAGAGTAGTATTATTATACATTTTTTTTTCATTAGTTAATGAAATTTAATTTGTATATAATCCATCGATTATCTAAAGTTGATAATTAAGTTTGTTAAATATCGGCTAATTTTTAAGTATCTAGCTGGAGGCTATGTTATCGTCGTCTTGGTGATTCAACGATTTGTTCGAAGATGGAGAATTCCAAAAAATAACAAAGGTATGTATTTTTGCGCGTGCGTACACTTTAAAGTGTTATGTTTATCTCGCACAGCTGTTGAGGACTCAAGTGAGAAATAAAATAAAATACGAATATAAATAAAATAAATACGCTTTTACTTACGGAGTGCAATATTATTATGTTTATCGATACATCACGTTTGTTTTTTTAGATTTGATGCGTTTCCATCCAATAATAGATTTTTATAGAGGTGGGAAAAGCATTTAAATCCTGCTATCGCGTAGTAAGACTGGCCTCGAGTGGCGAATCTGATGACGGTGGGCTTGTACCACCACCTTGTAAGAAAAGGCACTTGGATACGGAAGAAACCATGTTGCAGCCTACTAATGGCGTTTTGCAACACAATGGATCTGTGGATCAGCCCTCCAGTTCATCTATTAATGGTACTGGCAATGGAGATGGACAAGTACAAAACAATGGGTGCATTAAGGGAGGTTCAAGTCAGGAAATTATTCGCCTTATAGGTCAACATTTAAAACTCATAGGTCTAAAGTGAGTGTAAAAATTTTTTTATTATTAATAATATATAATTAAATAGGAGTTAATTTCAAATAGATCACTGAAAATTTTATCAATTCAAAATATTAACAATCAAATAATAGTTCAATGTCCCAAAAATTATTTTTTTGTTATTGCCATCTAATAAAAATTGTGTTAATTGATGCGTAATTTAAATTAATATTTTACTTAACATTTTTTCTGATAATAAATATTCTAGGTAGATAGAATACATTACATTATTTATGTCTACTCAAAAGTGTACTATTTTGTGAGAATATCTGTAAGATTTAATTTAAATTAACAAAGAAATGATTTGAACTATAAATTAATAGTTATATGTAATAATAGTAAAACGTTTAAAAAAGAAAATTGGCTATTGTATTATATTGTGTTATTAAATTTAAATATTATTTATATTAATTGTAATATGTATTAACACATATTCTTCAATCAAACAATAAAGAATTTTTTTGTATATGCTTAGAAAAATAGTTGAATATTGATTTGTGACAATGTCATAATGTTATCTCAACCTTTAGTATTCTACAGGTATATTCAGATAAAACAACTAAAATTAATTAGTCAGATAGTATGTGTATATATTAAACAAATATTCATAAAAGTTATTTAAATGTTTATCTTGGTTATTATAATGTTAGCGTCTTGATGTATAATTTGTTATTATACTCTGATAATAAATAAAGTGTATTTGTTTTTTTTTTAAATTTTATAAATTACAACTATTAATATTTAGAAAATATAATATTAAATATAGCAGTATACTTTAATATAATTTACCTTATTATTTTGTTAGATTATCATTTAATTGTATAGTATTAAGTTTAGTTTTATCAATAATATAAAGCGGTTCTACATAATAATGTAAATATTAATAGTAAAACACTCAATCACTTAAAAGAAAAAATTCTCTTTGGTCACAATTTTTATGAAAATTAACTATACCTTATTAAAATAATTAATGAATACGTAGAAGTTGTTTTCATTATAAGTAGTTAATTTTTTTATTATCTTTTGATTTTTATAAATAATATTCATTTCATTTATACAAAAAAGTATATACATATTGATGTGTAAAAATAGCTTTTAATTCAGGGTTAATGAGGTTTCGTCCAGGTGAATAAAATGAATAAATGAAAAAAATCATCGAATTTAATGACTAGTTTTTATAAAAATTATTTAAGTATTATTTACATAGATTTTTGTCAATTAATGTAGATTTCTAAAATAAATAAATTATGTTAAAGAGAAGTGGGTTAGTGTATAGTGAAGCTCTATTTTTACTATAACACACTGATAAGTATTCTACTACATTAGCACATGTCTTGCTTGTAACTATAAATAATTTTTTTTAATATTTGTTTTTGTTAAAAAAAAATACAATTTTTTAATTTTTTGAAATTTTAAAATGATTATTTAGCAATATGTATTATATAAAGTTAGTGTTCAAAAAGTAAGAACAGATCAATTGTTACAAACAATGAGAATAATAGAAACCCCTTTCCTTATTTACTGTCAATCTATATATTAAAATACTTCTAACTCAATAATTATTTATCATAAAGTTGTTATAAACCCATAAAAATGTTTTGTAAAAAATAAAAATTTTGAAATAACCAAACAAATTTGTTTTAATTTTCTTTTGACTACTAACAAATTATAAAAATATGCTTTTAATACTGCAAAAAATATTTTTAAAAAAAGTAACGTAACATATTTGCTGCATCAAAAGTTAGATGTGTCAAAACTTGGTGGGTCACTGTATATTTAGTATTTATTAACTATATATTAGCATATTTTTATGAAAGTAAATTTTTTTTCATTCAATGATAAAACATTCTTAAATATTTTTTTTTCATTTGTGGCTCTTTGTGATTTATAGTCAAACTGCTGAAGTTTTGATGCAAGAATCAGGATGCCGCTTGGAGCATCCTGCTGCCACACAATTCCGACATCATGTCATGGATGGTGAATGGAACAAAGTATGTACTAATTATTTTTTAAGTTTTATTTTAATTGATAATAATATTAAGTAAATTAAGTTTCTGTAATTTTATAATGCTAATATACAACTTAAATTAGTTCTTATTTTTATATAAGAGTAACATTTTTGATAACTCATTATCTCTCTATAATATTATTTGCTTAAATCATGTTACAAAAATTAGATTAATTCTAAATTTTTTAACATAAAAAAACATCAAGCATTTAAAATTGTCCTTATTATTGATTTTAGATATTTAGTGTTCTGTTTGTTGAATGCATATATTATGTATGTTGAATATAAAATTCTTTAAAATATCTGAACTATTTTCGTTATTACTTATACAAAAATAATATTTCAATATATTTTGTTCTTTTTAAGGTAAGTTCAGATTTGAACGAACTTCAGACTCTAGTAGGAAGTTCATGCAAATACTTTTTGGTAAGACATAAGCTCAATTTTTCGTCCTTATTTTTCATAAATCATCTTTATATCTGTTTATCCATTTTATATTTTTTATTAGGATATGAAGTTTTTGATATTTGAACAAAAATACTTAGAATATTTGGAGGATGGAAAAGTTTTAGATGCACTCCATGTTTTGCGTAATGAATTAACACCTTTACAACACAATATTGATAAAGTTCATATTTTAAGCAGGTAATTTCTTATTTTTAAGATTAGTTAAACTTAAATAGTTTATTATGTTATTAAATATTTATTTTCATGTTTATTTTAGTTATATGATGTGTAGTGGTCGTGAAGAATTGATGAAACGAGCGAATTGGGAGGGGAAAGGTCTTAAATCTAGAACTACACTTATGGATATGATACAAAAATTTCTTCCTCCTCATATCATGTTGCCACCAAAAAGGTGAGTAATTTTTTTTCTTCATAAAGAGTTAGAATATTTGATAATATCTAAAAAGTGACAATTTTTTTTTATTAATCTACTTTTGCCATTATTTCTTTTTATGAATAACCAATTAAAAGTTTTTAAAGCATTAAATATTTTGAAATTAAAGAGAAATGAAATGAAATATTTAGACTTTACTATTCCTAATAATACTACATCTTAACAGCCTATCTGATCTTTAAAATGTTTTATGGTGATTTTGATTCATTTTAACTTACTTAAAATTATTATTGACTAGTCATTTTCTTAATAAAATTATTTCCTATTTTATAAGCTAGTTAAAATATGTATTAAATATATATAAATAAAGTTGATATAATTTTAAGTTATAAGGGATGATTCTAAAAAGTAATAATTAAGAATTATATTTAACTAAAAGGAATCAAAGATTGTTTTTCCAATATTGTATTTATGTTAAAAGTAATTGATTAGTATACGGATCACTTTGTAAAGACATTTTTTTGTAACTTATGTTTTTAATATAATTTATACAATGAAAGTAAAAGTTTAAATTAAATAAAATGTTTTATACTAGGTTGCATATGTTGTTGAGTCAAGCTATAGAATTGCAAAGAAATCAATGTTTATTTCATAACACAACATATGATGACTCCATAGAAAATGTATCTTTACTTACTGACCATAAGTGTTCATTGTATGTAATTAAAATTATAACTATTTAGTGTATTATTAGAATAAAATAAAATTATCATTATAGAGAGCAAATTCCATGTGAAACAGTTCAAATTTTGACAGAACATTGTGATGAAGTTTGGTTTTGTCGTTTTTCACCCAATGGTAAAAAATTGGCCACAGGTTCAAAGGATGCTTCTATTATTATCTATGATGTTGATCCAGTAAGATTTTTTTTTTAATGAAGAATTTTCTTTGGTTTATTTGAATTTTTTTCTACAGGAAACTTTGACTGTCGAGCAATCAATTACTTTAGATGGTCATTCCTATGGCGTGAGTTACCTTTCTTGGTCACCAGATGGTGAACTTCTCATGGCCTGTGGCCCAGAAGACTGTCCTGATTTGTGGGTTTGGAATGTAAACACAGGAGTTTTACGCTTGAAATTGTCACATTCCTCTGATGATTCACTCACTGCTTGTTCATGGCATAAAGATGGCCAAAAATTTGTCTGTGGAGGAATCCGCGGACAATTTTATCAATGTGTAAATAATTTTTGTTATAGTATCAGATAAAAATTAAAGGTAATACATATATTTGAACATTTTAAACTAGGATTTAGAAGGATCTGTTTTGGATTCTTGGGAAGGTGTTAGAGTAAATTGTCTGTGGTGTCGTTCAGATGGAAAAACTGTCTTGGCTGCAGATACACGTCAACGTATACGTTCATATAATTTTGATGAATTAAGTGATCAAAATTTGTAAGTTAATATTTCATAAATATGTGTTAAAAGTTTTGTATTAAATTTAATTGTTTATTGTGTTATAAAAAATTCTATTTTTAAGAATACAAGAAGACCATCCCATTATGTCTTTCACTGTAAATAAAACTGACCGTTTAGCACTGCTTAATGTCGTATCTCAAGGTGTTCATTTATGGGACTTAGAAGATAAGTGTTTAGTTCGTAAATTCCAAGGAGTCACTCAAGGTCATTTTTCAATTCATAGCTGTTTTGGTGGTGTTAATCATGATTTTATTGCTAGTGGAAGTGAAGGTTGGGATTATCATTTTCATAATAATTTTTTAATAAATTGTATTAATTACATTTATACTTAGATAACAAAGTTTATTTGTGGCATATAAAACATGAAAAGCCTATAGCAACTCTAACTGGTCATACTAGAGCAGTTACATGTGTTAGTTGGAATCCTGTGTACCATCAAATGTTGGCATCAGTTTCTGATGATTGCACTGTTCGTATATGGGGTCCTTCAGCTAAATATCGCAAACAAAAGACTAATAAAAGTGGTAAGTTTTCTATTGATAATATACTACGATGAGTAGTAAATCCAATTTCATGATTGGATTAAATCAAAATTAGAAGTAGTCTATAGGAAGAAGTAAAACAAATAAATATACTTAAAGGCTAATTTCTAGCAATTTTTGCTAGTTATAATAGTATTTAAAACTAAATTCAGTTAGTTTAATAATGTTGTATATAATATAAAGAGCCTATTAATGTCTATTAGTTTTTAACTAAATTTTGTGTGGTACCAATGCATTCTAAAATAACTAATCATATTATACTCAGTAAATACAAAAGTTTATTAACAAAAATATTGTGTTTTCTTTAATTAAAAATTAACTAAGTATAATTTAAAATTAAAATCATAAAAAAAATAAATTATCAATTTTCTAACTTTCAATTATAAAATTCTTTCTTGTCATAGAACTCCACAATTAATAGCAGTATAATTTTTTGGTTACAATAAAAATTACAGATTGTAGGAATGTGTTTGTTAGATTTAAACCTAGATTTATTCTTAAGTGTTAATGATGATCAATGAAAAACTTAATCAAGTTAACAAACTTGATAAAATATCAATAATAATATAAGTTATGCTTCTAAAATATTCCACTTAAATAAAAAAAATTTCCTTAATGAATCAAACTAAGTATATATATATTAAAGCTTAATTAATTCTACTGATATTTCTTAATATTTAGTTTAAAGAAAAGAAATTGTCAATCTATTTATATTTTATGATCCTATAAATTGTAAAATTTTATTCTAAATGGTTAAAAAAGCTTATATTAAAATCTAAAAATTATTTAAATCAAATTGGTGTTATAATTTTTCTCATTCATTCAGCTATCACAATTAATAGATTGTATTTGGATGATTTATAAAGATAATTTAATTTTTTTTACTATAATGTGTAATATGTTAGTTATTCTAAAGTGTCAATAAGTTTTATTGATATTTTAATTTTTTTTCGAAACAAATTTTCACCTTTTTTATTTTTGTTTTATACAGATATTAACAACGATTCTGGTTCAACTTCCAATCATATGTAAAATAATTTTAACCATTTTGACTGTTTTGTTTACGCAAATATATATTATAAATGTTATTTTGCCATTTTAACTTTATGTGAAAGCCTTGTTTTTTGAACTTAATGTTTCTTCATTTTCTTTTATTTCTTAAAAAATAAGCTTTCAATCAATTATAACGCAATACTTTTGTATCAAATTAAAATATTAAAAATGGTATAATATTTATAAACTGTATGTATTGGTATGACTTTTATATGTATCTACTAATTTTGTACATATTGCGTATTAAACGCAAGTTAGCGAATAAAACAAATTTTGTAAATATTTAAAAATATGAATTCTCTAGAACTAAGTTGTGTATTTTCTTTTATTATGTAGTACATTTTTTTGTATAGAGCATAGACATTTGTTTTACCAATAGTTTATATTTTATCGATTTTTCTAATATATAATAATTTTGCAATTTGATTTTACATATAAAATATTATTGTTAAGTTAAATATTATATTATGTATTTGTCACTCGAGCTAATATCGACTTAAAAGTAATAAATAACTGTAAAAAAAAAACATCATTAACAATATTTACATTTCTTATTATTTTATTTACATTCTACTCCCTTAAACAATATTTTAAGAGAAGTCTTGTAAATGTTTTGAAAAAAAAAAAATTTGATCAAAACCGTATACTAAAACCATTAAACTCTTTTCTTGCTAAGTATTCAAAATTCATGAGATCACAACGCTCGACTTTACTTCCTGGACTTCCTTCATTGGACAACCATGCGATCCTATAAAAAGTTTTTTAACATGTACTCATAATATTTTTTTGTATATTATTTGAAAAAAAAAAATCTCAGGCTTAACTTGTGTTAATTAAAGGAAAACCCAGTTTTTGTAAGTACCATAGAGTACTATATATAGAAATATATTTCCTATGAGAGTTCATATGATAAGATTCTTGTAAGAGTAAAAGTATAAGGTATAAAGAAAAACAAGAATAAAAACTATGTTAATTTATAACTTATCATAGGAATCTTTACGATAACTATCTTGTAATCTATATAGTAGTTCTATATGACTGAATACTTTGAGTCATATACTTAATATAGGACAAATTGAATATTCCACACAAGTGAAATGTTGGATCATAATATTTGCTAAGTATATAGTTAGTTACATTTTTTTAATATTATCATATACTGCATTTGATATCTAACGAAACATATTCTATTCATATTAATTGTAGTATAAAAATATCTATAATATGTTTAGTATATCTGTAGAATATATCATGGTATGTGGGATAAGTCTAAATTTGTTTTTAAACAAAAACATTAATCAGTTTATTATATTATATTATTAATTTCGTAATGATATAGTATATTATTTAAGGATATTAGGGTACTATTGACTATATTGGAAATAATGTTGTATTGTTCTGTAATCTGTAGTGTTCTTTTGTTTTATTTATTTATTGAGTTTTAAGAGTGATTGAATTCTCATAATTTAAAAACATATAAAAAATTTCATGAGTAAACAAATATTAACAGTCATAAAATAAAACATCAAAAATCATAGACCCTTCCAATTCTAGGAAAATAAAAATGTACTTAAGCCTTATAGTCATTTAAAGAAGACAATGATTTGTAAAACGTTCTAAACCAGTGGCATAGCCAAGGGGGAACACAGGGATCATTGACAGCAATATTTATCTATAAAATAATGTGATGAGTAAAAAAAAATCTAAAATATGGATTTTATGTCCTTCTAACTATCAAAATCCTGCAACGGCAAGATGGCAAGTAATATTAGGTAGTCCAGTTTTCTGTTATCAGTTACTACTTGATTTTAAATTAAAGATTTTTATGACTTTAAATGTGCAATAACTTGACTGCGAAGTGATCTATATTTTTTTAACAGATTAAATATTTCAAAAGCCTATAAACTATCAAAAGGATTAAAAAATAAATTTTATATATGTTAAAATTGTAAAAGAAAAAGAAAAATTTGAAAGCCATTTATTAAAAAAAAATATACAATTATATATATAAATATATTGTTTATATAAAATTCGTTTAGTAGTTTACTAATGGGAGATGAATTATGAGCGATTTTATGAAATTATAGACCGGTCAAAAATTAGTCTAACATAATCTGAAATGGTCCGAATGTATTAAAATAACGTGGAAGTATAAAAATTATGTTTTGTTTTACTTAATTAGGTTATAGTAAATTATCAAAAAATTCAATACATTGCCTCCACATGTGCTTTCGGTCCTTGCATTTTGCCCATAATTGTACCGCGTTTACTGTTTTTAACCCATCCAACAATGCCGAGTTCTGCACATTGATCTCTACAGTATTTAGTGAAGTATACACCTGAAATTTAAATTGTAATTTATGTATAATATTCACTTTTAAAAACAAATTCATGAACATTAAAATGTAATATAAAAAGCGATTTCTTACAAATTCATTTGTGTACAAATTACTTTGTATTTAAGGAAGTTTTTAGTAAAAAAATTATTCTATGGGTTTCTACCAAAATAGAAAAAATAAGTGGCTCCCTAGAAAATGTTTTAAATTCTCCTAATATAATTAGAGTAATCAAATATTTATCTAAAAATTGTATGATAAATTAGTTTATAAATCGAAATAACTATAAATATTAAAAAAAATAAATAAATTTTATACAATTTTTAACTACTTTATATTATCAACTTCATAAACTTTTTCTTTTAATTAAGAATTCCGATTAAGTAATTAAAAAGTCGTATAACACTAAATTAATTAGAAATTTTTATATTAAAAACTACATTTATCTAGCTGTTAATGGTCTTCAAGTCTTAATTAAAGAAATAACATTGGTTGCTACAGTTAATTTTTTTTGCCAATCTAATAAATCCAATAAATATATTTTATTAATTACACTTACATTTCAGATTATCTATGGCTAACAAATGGAAGTAGACTAGAAGTCAAGAAACTTTTGTAAGAATTTTTATTTATTAAAATATAAATGTTTGGCAAAGTTAATAGTTACGCTCGATTTTAAGTGATATAAATAAAAATACTACGCTTTTTAAATTGTAATGTGTAATTAATTAGTAATTTATACAACACATTTTGTGTACAATGACAATATAATCCTAGTTAAAATGCAATTGGCACTCAGTGTTTATATTATAAAATTAGATTTTCATCATTATAAATTCGTTGATGTTAAATTTTGCTCCTTATTACCATAGCTGGATCTGCTTATAAGAAGTCTTCGGTATACAATATAAAGCAGAATTTATTAAAAAAATATGTTTACTTTATTATCAAAACTCTTCAAAACCTTTTTTTTATACAACATTCCATTTAGAGGAGTTATATGAATTTTAAATTAAAAAAAAATATTTCTCTTATTTATTGAAATTGGAATACTTCTAATCGAGAAAATAATAGTACTTACCCCAAATTAATCTGAGATACTGTCATTTTCAAATTACTATGGTAGTAAACGTGTTAATAGATTACTTGAGTTACAAGGATCCAATATAATTCAAGTACGGCATAAAAATTGTAATAAATACATGTTAAAATTATTTGAGCATTTGAAATAAATGATTTATTCGCTCGATTAGTAAATAATATCAAAGTAATCTAATTATATTTTTTGTACAACTTTGTATTTCCTCTTTATGATGTTGCTTAACAATAGAGTTAAAAATTTATTATATAGTTTCCATTTCATTACATCATATAAATTAATTATCAATACTACGAAAATGATGTATGTTGATTTTTATAATTAATTTCATTTATAATCAAAGGTTTTGAAATAGACATAACACTTAGCATTATTTTTACGACGTGAACTATAAATGAAGTTTGAAAATGTTTCACTAAAACCGTAGAGAATTTATGTTATGATCAAGTTACACTTGGGCGAAATGTTTAAAACTAGTCCGTTTTAAAGACTGTTACAAATAATTATTTTTTTAACTATTTTTAAATTGAACTTTTGATATTGCAAAAACTGAAATATCATTTAAATAATAGAAAGTTGAACATTAATGAAATATAGTTATTTTTGTAATGATTGAATAATATAATTTTTCGTTGATCCTCCTTTGGGTTAGTCATACAAATTTTTATATCTTAATTTTATAATCGCTCGATTTTTAAAAATTACTTTCAGTTAAAAGTATAGTAAAAATAACCAAATGAGCAATATTTTGGTGTATATGGTTACCTTGTACTTTTCCGAACACTTCAAATTCGACCGAGACATATGAATGACCCGCGTCCTCGTGATGTTCCATTGTGCGTGCCAAATCGTATACTAAAAGATTTACAGTTGCACAGAACGTTTTATTTTTTGTCGCACAATTTCTATTTTTAAAACATGTACTAAATTGAGTAACAGATGTTTACTGATTATCACTATCAGTCAATATTGTATTGTCGAAATCGCCTTGATCCACCCCCCGATTATGATTACTCAATTTGTAATTCATTGTTGACCCTATAAGTTTTTAAAAAGTATATAATTGAAAGTTTTTCATTAATAGTATTGTAAAATATGTCAAAAGAGCCTACCTTTACTTAAATGTTATGAGTTAAAGAGATAAAGAGCCTTAATGCGTTTTTTTTATAAATGACATCGAAAAATAATTATTGCCAAGTAAGTTTTGTAGCAATCTCCATTTTACCGTTATACACTTTTAACAAGAAAAAAGTTAAAAATAATTATCTATAGTACACTTTTCATAGTAAATTTAGTTATTTTATCAATCACCATAGACAAATAAATTACAGGAGGTACAATTACAGGCATTAAGAATTCAAAGTGATGTCAAAATCTATTTTGACTCGTAATCAGAGCTTTATTTTTAAATATTTATTAAATAAACGTTACAATTTATTATTAAAAGTTTTAAATTTAAAATGTTTTGTATAACGGTTCAATCTATTCTGTATATTTTTAATTAATAGTTTTATTTAGTTGTGTGCTTATTATTGTAATTTGTTGCTATTAATGTTCATATTAATCATCATTAAAATGTTTTTAAGTTCAGTTCAAGTTGGAAAAATTAAACATCACTAATTGTACGAATTAAATTATTAAAAAAAGGTGAAATATAATTAAAAGGATGTTATTAATTACTTAACATAATATCCATATGATATAAAACCCCACAATTCTTACACATTGAAAACAACGGAAATACTTTTTATCATTATATTCACACTTACCTAACTTTCGGTATTTACTGAGGGAACGAATTTAAATTACAAAACAAAAGACAAATTAACCTTGTGCCAGTAAGCTACACGCAAGAGCAAAGGAACTCGTTAATAAACGGAATAATGGCGCAGTAGATTAAGTCATGTGCGAACATATACAATACATACGGCGTGTCCTTTAAACGTCAATAACTGAAATAGACTTAAGGATAATTTGATGCTCTTGGCAAAAATACAGAATATGAAATATTCTATCTAATTCTCAAGTGCATGATTTATAAAAAAATGTCGGTGCCAAAAACTGTACATATTTTTAACAAAAAAATAAGTTGTACTTAGATTAATATTCAAATTACCATCGAACAAATCTTGTTGTTCGGTATGTATTGAAATATACGGTATTATAGTCTTAAAGAATTTTTTCAACAGTCTTATTTAACTAGAAAACTATGCTGCAAGTATTTCAAAACATGACTAGGAACATACATAGTATTTTCTGTATAATAATTTATCTACTCTGTAATTTTTTAGGCGCCTATTAAAAGTTTACATTTAAATCTTCGTAAAATTAAAATAATATTTATAATTAAACGTAAATTATATCATAATTAAAATTACCTATAAAATAAATTTAATGACAATATAGAGTCCTCTAAAACTTATTAACTGTTATTTTAATATAACTTTTTATGGACGTAATAAAAATATTATTTTTATCCAACAAATAGGGATAACAAGCATTATAAAAACAGAGTACTCAATTAGAAAGTTCTACTTAATTTATGTAAAATTTGATCGATTAAGTAAATGTATTTATTTATTATGTGATGTAAATATTTTATAAAGAGCTATTATTTATTATATTAAATACTATAATAGATTCAAAAACGGCCCTTACTATCAATTTATTTATTGATAATTTTAGTTTTAATTTTTATACTAGCTACTCGCATATTAGTCTTAATTTGCTTCATACCCAATATTTTTTATGAGCAATTTATTACCAGGCAGATTTTTAATACGTTTCCATTGTTCTTTAATTGTCATCCATCAACAATTGTGTGGGATCTTCTCATCCCGAGGGCTTACAAACATTGTAGAGACGGATGTAAAATTAACTGGAGAAAAAATTGGTATATATTTTTTTTATCATAATATAAAAAATATTCACAAATTTACAATTTTTTTAATTTATATTTTTGAAAAATTTTTATTGTAATATAGAAAAAGAAATTTTTTTTTTTACTGAGGATTTCAATTTTAATAATTTATTTATTACAGTTTTAGACTGAATTATATCAAGAATTTTTTTAAACCTTCAGAAAATATATAACTTATGCATCTGAACGACTTAATTAGTCATAAATAAAAACTTTGATAGTAAAAATAAACCAAAAAATAACAACCTACAATTTAAAAGTATACTCTTAAAAGTATTTTATTACACAATGTTGGATATTTTAATGATTCCTTTACTTAAACTTGTAGTTAAAAATTATTTACAAAAATATCATCAGTTAATCATACACTATGTAGATATTTAACGAAGTTGATAAATTGCATTTTATTTAATACAATTGAAGATAATAAAATTTCAAACATAACATAGAAAGTTCATAAATTATCAATAAATAAATTACCAATAACATTGGGTTTAGAGTTATCACAAATAATAATATCAAATTAAAAATAATAACATTAGTAAATATTTTATATAAATAAAATAATCTCAAAACATTTTAGAGCATTGAAAAACATTTAATTTCATATACACGAATACTGAAAATTTTAAACAACAAACGATTTATATTTTACATTAGTCATTTTTATGTATTTACAATTTTTAGATTGTTATTATTTTTTGTTTAAAAGTAGATAACATTATTTTCTTTTCGTGACTAGTCAATTTGAAAAATTTTTCATTAATAAGTATTAAATGTACTAAATTGACATATAATAGAATAATTTCAACATTTAAATATTTTCTTACTTAAATCTTATAAATAACTAAACTAGCAAATTTGGCTTAAATAGATATTTGGAACGTATACTTGAAACTTTGAATGTTTCTACAATTTAAGGATTGAATAATTTTTCATTTTTCCTTACAAATTGTTGTTATTTTATAAAATATTTTAATCAAGTAATAGTATACACAAATACGACTCAATTCAACAAACTATAGAGTTGTTTCGAGCTTACAAGGAGTAAATGATTTATCAAACAATATTGTTGTCGTATTGAACAATTGTCTTAATATTTTCGCCATTTTTATTAGCTTTAATATCGCCATTTTCTTTTATCACTGAGTTCGTCAAGAGTTTTCCCATGACGGATTGCTCGATTTCCTCTTCTTCTTCTAAGTTTCCTTTGACTTGTATCATTTCTTTATCTTCTTTCTCTACGACATTATTTTTTTTTCGTTTTCTTTTCTAAATTATAGAAATGTTATTATTTCAATGCAATGTAAATACACGTAAAATAATTAGTGATATTCTATCATATTGAAATCAGTATATGTTAAAAAAATAAAATCATACTGTTAAACAATTATTTAGCAATTTTTATTTTATCAGTATTATTTTTAATAACTACGATAAATTTTTATTATTTACTTGTACTAGTAATCGAACATAGTAACAAGGAAAGTCTACACATTGTGTTCCGTCTCCTTCGCCGTCCATATAGACACCTCGAACTAAAATTGAATTTGATGAGTTAAGGGCTACCAAAATTATGAAACATGCGATGTGAGAAATCCAATAGCTTGTCACTTGTGCTTCTATAACATATTCAATATTTTTTAATTTTTTTTATAAAATTAACTTACAAGTTAGAACGTACTATTTTGTATATATCACTCGTGTAATTCTGGGGGTATTTCATTTACTAATGTTTTATTTTTAGTTAATTAATATAATAAAAAATAAAATATTTTCATCTCCCCTACAACTGAATATTTGAAAATGAAAACGCCGGTGCTATAATCAATTACGCTTATTTTTTTTTTAATTCAATACCTTATACAATTAAGTGTACTGTTTCAATAGAGTATTGTTTGCTGCGTTATAAAATAAAATAATTTCATTTTTTTCTGTTTCGTGAATATTTTTCATAGTTTACTTATCTGATTATTTCCTTCAATAACATACTTAAAATGTTATATGCCAATAAATGTATTAAAATATAAATTACCTGGAAGAAAGTACACATCCAGCATATTCCAAATACCTCTCCATACATTAACTGCTCCAAAAAATGAAAACAATAAATAAATATCTACAACAATTATTCTTTTGATTCCTTTGATTCTTCGAACTAGATTCTTTACCCAGTATTGTAAGGAAAAAGCTACTAACACGACACTATATCCTATGACCTGTGAATTAAACTTTAGTAAACTACATGGAAATCTAAATGTATTAGTATTTATTATAAATCGGTATTTAAATCAGTGCTGTACAATTATACATTCATCAATTTTAATTACGTTTTTTGTTCACTGAAATCTATTAAATACATATATATATATATACAGAGTGAAACAGATTTATCTATCGACTCTTATATTTTTTGATACAATTAAAATTTCGCTGTAATTTTTTTAAAGGATATTTTCATGTTTGGAATACGTTAAAACATATTATTTAGTTTTAATAATAAAAATGTATTTATTTTAATTTTAAATGACCGTATTTTAGAGATTTTCTAACAAAAAATTTTGATGGGGCGATAACAATTTTAAGATAAGTACTTATTGAGTTATAATCATTTTTACACATAGAGTGGGTATGTAGCACGGGTGGAGTTATAAAAATACTTCAGTATAAGCTGCACACAGCTCTACTACATTACCATTTTATGAGTTAAAATGCTTGTAACTCAATAATTATTCGATCTAAAATTACTATCGACCCATTAATTATTTTTTTAAGATAAGTTATAATAATGGACATTATTAAATTTTGAAAATTAAAAGAATAACTACAGCTAAATTCTAATTGTATCAAAATTTATAAGAATTGTTAGTCATATCTGTTCTACTCTGTATACAGTGTTCATTAAGTAAGGATACAGATCAGTTGTTACAAATAATGTGAACAATAGAAACCTTACTTACTGAACACCTTATATATATACATGTAAATACATATTTATATCATGTCAACAAGGATATGCCCACTCGAGTAGTAGTCAATCAACCAAAGACTTTATGTTTAATTGTATCGATCATATGAGTCTACTAAAACAATAACATAAGAGAAATAATTGCATACTTCTAGATATTACCGGTATATGAAACCTTTTATTCATTTTATTTAGTAATTCATTTTTCAATTAAAATATAATTTTTTTTGCTGCAGATTTACTTAATTAGGAGTAACGACTTCAAATAGAGCAGACAGATTATGCGATTACACTAAGATCAGCGTCGTAATAAAATCATGTATAAATTGAATTGACAAACAAAAATAATCCCAAAGTTAATTAGACTTGCACTATCAAATAATACCGTAATAGTAATGTTTTTCACTTGGCTAAAATTGATTAATATTATTTTTTCCTGTTTCTATATTAATTCTACACTAATATACTAGTCAAGTTGGCAGTAGAATTAAAAAGTATTATTTAAATTCTGTTGCATGAACAACAAATCCGAGAATAATTAAATTTATAATAACTTACTATAATTTATAGATTATAGAAAGTATTCAATTTGTAAAAAAATAAGGAGCGCTGTCGTTAGTTTTTCATTTTTTTTCTTAGACGTCATATAATAAAGTAAATGTCCCCATTACAATTAAAACTAAATTACACTGAATATTAAATTATAAAATGTTTGGTGATATCAAACTAGTGGCGGATCCAGAAGACGTGCATTTAACTATTGTCGTCTACTAAAAAAAAAAAAAATGAAAAAGTTAATTTTGATACCTAAGAAAAATTTTGCGTCCCACTTGAAAAAATTCTGGATCTACCCCTTTATTGAACTTAAGGAAGATTTAGTAAAGTTAGGTATTTATTATAATGTATAGTATCTATAAGTAGAGATAATTTATGACTTTAGATTCTACAACAATTCAGCACTATATATGTTCATGATAAAATTTAGTTCATTGTCTATATTTCAATATACTAAATACTCCTAATTTTTTTATCGTCGACCGATCATAAAAAAATTGTAACACAAAATAGATGATTTCTCAGTAGACCGTTCTTAAAAATAGAATCATCATACATTAATATAGAATTTTTAATTTTCATTTAAGTTAACTCACTATATAATGAATGAAACCACTCAGTGTCGCAAACGAGTGGATCTCCGGGTTCATACCCCCAAAAATACATAAATAACAACGTACACAAAATTACAGAAACAGGGGGTAGTGTAGAGGTGAATTTTAAAATTTATCCAAACAAAATTTCTAATTGCGTTACTGAAAAGACTTTTTTAGGGATTAAAATTCATCACAGATTATATGATTTTATGTGTTTTATATGTTTACCTCACATTATTGACAGACTTATTTTATATATGTTTAGCTATAATAAATTAGATCAAGATGATTGATTGATAAATTAAATTTTTCAATTATGTAAACTTTAAAATATATCAATTAGTCATTGGTAGGCTAACACCCTCATTGACCTGCGTACTCGTCGTCAATTATATTAAATATTGTTAACATTTAAATATATTTATAAATATATAGTCTCAAACATAACTGACAACAATTATAACTTTTAATATAATTAGAATTTTAATTTTGTCTCCTTAGACTACGTTAAAAACGATTTTTTATTATTCATTACTTCACTGAAATCTTAAATAACTTTTGATTGTTAATTTTTTTAAATAATTAATATACATAAGGTCTATAATAATAATGTAATTAATACCATTTTTATAATTAAATATAAAAAAATTAATTTTAAAAATTTACAGAAAATGTTTAAAAAAATTAAAAAATAATCATTTTTTAGAATAGATTCAAAAAAATAATTTGGTGAAAAAAATTCTCATTAATATTTAGTAGTGAATTTTTTGCTACATTTTAAATAATGTAAAAAATTGAATTTTTCTATATTTATTCTTCGGTATCAAACAATGCCTATGTTTTATAAAAAATGACAGAAGTAAACACAATCTTCTCACACTAACTATAATATGAGTATGAATTTTTTCATGAAAATTATTAACATTACAATGACCTGTTGTAATTCAAATAAAACACGAACAATACCTATTATTTAATAAGTAGTGTTATTTCTTAAGAGATAAAATTAATTATCTTACTTTTGTTCTGTCCTTGTCTCAATACGTATTTCAATGTTTTCTATCGTGAAATAGTACATAAAAATTCAAATTTTCACAAATTTTAAAATGATACAAACTATTTGTATTCTTATTATTATTATTTGTATTAATATGACTAATTAATATTTATATTCCTTTTATTTAAGAATTATACTTATATTATTAATACAGTTATAACTAATTAAATTAAATTATAATACTCTCTTTATTAATCTTTTGTCATCTGTTTTTTATCGTCCATATATAATTAATATTTCGAACAATTTTATTTAAATTTTGATCTTGGCTCCTTACCTTCATTATCACATTATTGCTATAGTTTACTTGGGATTATAATTAATTATTTTGCCATTTATAACTCATAAAATCTTATAAGTAATTAGCTGTGTAATAGGAGTGCTTTTAAATAAAAAAAAAATAAGTTACACTGTATAAATATTATCGAATTGATTCAAAATTTGAAGAGTTTATTATTTAAACTAGTTAAGACTTCAGAAAATACGCGAAATAGCTGGCACCCTATTCAATATACTTTTTGTAAATATGTTTGTCAACAAATAGATGAAAAATATATCATGGCTAATTGATCATTCTCAAAATCTGATGTTTTGGGATCTTAGAATGTCAAAATATAATTATTACTAGTTGTCCTTTTTATTGAATAAATATATTAATAATATAATTAAATAATTTACTAAGGATAACCATGCCGACATTTGTTCCTGTTCTGGATATAAGTACTTGTCCATTATAGCCCAAACACCTCGCCATACTACCACTACCAAGGTACCTATTATACAGACGCTGAAAAAACTGTCCAAGACGTATAAACATGAATAGCCCGTATTACTCTGTGAAAAATAAAAAATAAAATTATTATTTATTATGCTATCATGATATGTTTTAATATAATAAGATATTTTTTATTAAATTGTCTAAGTTCTAAATGTACTATCATAGATCATCAGTAGTTAATGGAAAAATGTCAAACTTTTTGGGTTTCAGTTGGCTAAATCAACTTTTTGAAAGTGTTAAAAGAAAAGAAATAATATTTCATTCAAATTAAAAAAATACTTTCCACTTCCTCGAGTAGAAATAAAAATTTGATAAGTTGTTAACTAGATGCTATTTTAGAGATATAAAGATCATTACTCAGAGCTATAACATAAAAAAAACGTTTTTTTTTATTTTCTACTGAATTTTAAAATATTATTATGATTTATCAGGGACAATGAGAGGCAGTAACTTGGGAATTCACCACAGTCTAATTTTTAATGAAAACTGAGCCGGTCATCCCGTTCTCTTGCTTACTGGACTATAATATGAGCAAACCTCGTCAAAAACCAATTTATAATAATATAAGAAATTTAATGAAAATTAATTCTTATTCAATGGTACTAAATATTTCATATTTATTTTTTTAAAGTACAAAAGAAACCCAATTTTAACAGCTACTCTTTTTGTCATTGTAATAATGTACAACACATATTATTACTTCACCGTTAAATATAACTCATTGTATCTCAAACACCCCGAGTCTCGATAAAAAATAAAATGTTCTCTGATTATTTTGTTTATCATGTTCATACATTAATTATTAATACTATATCTTAAAACTGATCATGTGCAATTTCTGAACCTACAAATGTACGTTTAAAATAAAAGTTCTCTTAATCGTGTTTTTTGTTTGCGTTTAACTTTATTAAATGATTAATAGAGATTTTATTGAAATTTCTTTTACAATTAATGTGTATGTGAATAATTTTCTTCATGTTTCTAATAGTCATTTTAGAGAAAAATCCTTGATATTTTTTTATTTATTATTAATAAAATGATTTTATAAAAAGTTTTGTCATAGCAATTTTCATAAAAGAGCAACAGTTGCAATTAATAAGTCACGAATAAAATGGGCGGCTTTTGAAAATAATGGATTGGTCAAAAAATTTGCGTAATCCTAGTAAAATCTGAAATGACGCCTCTTTATCTAATCAGTCGCCTATACAATATCGTTTTTTAATGACTTGTACATTCTGTAGCATAGTAATAATTATTAAGTTTCTATAGTTCTATTATAAACAAAACGATTGGTTACAAATTCATCGATATAGAACTTAATTGATTAATTAAGTTTCAAATTGGACTACATTACGAAAAAATAAACATTGAATAATTATTTACCTTTTCCTTGGCTGATAAAAAAAAACCATAATAACTATTTTTATAATAGTTTTTTTTTTTTACAACTTCATGAGTCATTAGTGCATAATACACATGTACAAAGATTCATTGAAATTCTATAGGATAAGTTCTTCTAGGGGTGTTATACATATATGTATTAAGAGTTTTTAATGTGCAAAATTTAAGGGAAAAGTTGGAAAAATTAAATTGTATGATAATTGGATAAAAAATTTTCACCTGATGTAGTTAGAGATTCTAGTTTGGATTTAAATACAATTTAAATGTGCATCTTCATTGTCATGAATCTTATAAAAATAGATTTTATACTTTTAATCAATTCTCAATAATATAATTCTGAACTACGAAAATATACCCATCTTAGTTAGATTGTTATATGCATATTAGCTCTAGAATTTTTTTTATGAATAAAATATTTAGAAAAGAATCTTACTCGACCTCCTTTACGGAAGAGTGTTGGTACTTCGAAGTACCCGTGATAATGATCGGAAAGTGTGGCCACCGGAGGAGCAATGATATTGCGTAGAGTACCCATCACAACTAGAATACCGATTGATAGAAATACTGAAGTGAATACTGCCGGTAAACTGGTACCTGTTAGCAAGTTCATACCGTCCCAGATACCTCGCCATGAATTCACACAAGCGAGCCCAAAAAGGGCCGTATAACATCGGGTCACTAGGTAATAGCTGAATGAGTTCCTCCAAGAGTTTACAAATGTCTTAAGCTTATATTGAACAACAGTAAAAATAGTAACGCCAAAAAAGCCAATACACAGTGATGTGACGGTGCTGAGTGTACGGTATTCAGGTAGCAGATACGTATCAAAAAGCATCCACGTGACCCTCCAATATGTCACTACTGCGGGTGTTATGATTAACAGAGCTAATGCGATATCCAAAATCACAAATCTTTCGTGAGAGTCGCCTATTTTATGCCGCGTCGAAGGCACCGAAGACGACTCCATTTTGTTACAATACCATACGGTTAAACCATCGTGACTCGTGAAACATAAATTTAATTATGAATTCATTTAGTTACCAAGATATACGTCAATTACACGTAATTCCAATTTAGAGAAACGAACGATAAAACACGTATACACCACGATGGTCACGAACAGCTTTCGAACATTATGACTTAATCTCAACAATGGCAGTAGAATTGTAACAGTGCGAGTAATCCATTAATTTTTATTTCCCCCTCCGACATTTCTGCTTCTAAACTAACCTCTTCATCCAAAAAGTGTCATTTGGTAAACGCGAGGTATCTCATTGGTTATTATTGAGGTTCAAAACGCTAAAATGTTTATCAAAAACTTACAAATTGGTTACTTTTGTATTAATATGTTCATCAAAATATAATGAAATTATTACATAAAAATGTGTATTTTTTAACGATAACAAAATAGTTTCTAACTTTGTAGCCTAATTTAAAATTTTTTACAGTGAGACATAAAAGTTCTTATGAAAATTAATGAAATAATAAATATTAGTGTTTTTAATATTAATTAGTATAGGTTTAAAAATATTCTAGGTAATTGATTTTTTTAATTTCATTTAGAAAAAAATATTGGACATTAATATTTTAAGAAATTTTGATATTGTATGCTATGGTTATAATTTATAAGAAGAAAAAATGTCTGTCCTGCAAGTTTTAAAAAATGGAGCTGACACATTATTGCATTGATAAGTAAGTATGATAATATGTTACAATTATAGATAAAGAAGCCATGCATGACGCCATTAATTAATATTTGATGTAATTTTACGAACAATAGTAAGTATACTGTTAGTTGTAAGAAAAATGTATTTAAAATCGTATAAAACACCCTCATATTAAATTATAGTGGTAAATTTGAAAATTAATGGAAACCTATTATTGATTTTTACTTATTAATGGAAAATGGTCTAATTAAAATTTTGATTGATCAATAACCAGTTTTATACTAATTTTTTTTACTATAACATTTAATTATAGGTAGGAGCTGTGTAGAAGTTTTAAGGGGTGGTAATTTTTTCAAGATTCAAATATAACTATGTAAGTAGGATTTTTTTTAAATTTATTTTAAGGAAAATTATTACCCAAAAGTTAAATTTTTGTCTCTCTAAAAAATAATTTATATGTAACACATATAATTTTGGAACGCTACAATGTAAAATGAGATCATATTTCTATATAATTACATAAAAATTCCATTTTTGTTAATGATAAAGATGAATATTTTAAATTTTGTGTTGTTAAAAAATTAAAAAAAAAATTTTTATACTTAAAAGGTAAATTAAATATTTTTAGTTTCTTCGGTTTTTGATAATTTTTGAAGGATGGAGTTATATTGTTTTTGTAAATTACTTCTAATTTAATCATAAATAAGAAATTTTTTATTAAAACCCAGCACAGTGAGGACGTTGCATAGTTGGGTCTAGTATAGATGATGTCTGACAGTGATTAAAAACAACTATATTAAAATCACGTTTTTTATCACATAAAAAACGTTTTGATGCAAATCTGTGTTTAACTTTGTAGACTGTGTTTAACTATAAAAAATTGGTAGATTATTCCAAAAGCAACGTGATCTCCTATTTCCTTATTTACACACTGAAAACAAGTTTTATGATTTATATGGGTGTAATATATGAATAAATATATATTATAAAAATTAAATATACTATGAAATTTATATTTAATAATTTAGTATTGTATTTTTATTTATTAACTTTGATTAACTTTCACCATGGAAACAAAATAATGTTCCAAATTTTTTTTTCTAAAAGCTAAAACTTAAAATATAGTAAAATAATTTTAATATAAATAAAAAATTTCTTCTCACGAGGTGCGACTACAGTGATGGGAATCTTGATCTTTATTGAAGTTATTGAATCTAAATGAGATAAAAATCAAAGCAGTTGAAAATTTATTCTAATTTAAAAAAAATCAAGAAAAAATGCAAAAAAATCATTGCCATACGCGGGTTGGATCTTTGTACCCTAATCGCTTAAAACACATGTTTAACCGAGACGGTAACCGTACGTCACTAATGTCGATTGAAAAAAATGGCTATTTAAGCTAGTTCAAATTTCAAAGTTATTTTTCTCGACTTCAAAAAAGCAAAAAAATTTAATAAGTTTAACTTTCTATGCTATATCAATTTTATTTAAATAATATTTATGAAAATCTGTGTACTCCCCTTGTCAGATATTTTAAAATAAAATATAAAATAGCATATAAGTTTTAATTTAAGATTTTTATAAAAGTGTCAGTATTTCCGGAACATTTTCGAAACTTAAATTGAAAAAGTTAATTTTTTGTGAAAAAGTTGTCATTTTGAATCCTTCTTTATGAGCAGGTAAAGGGTCAAATTTATAACAAAAATATACAAAATGATAGGTAAATACCTCATGTGTTTATAAAAAAAAATTATATCGATTGGGTCATTTTTAAAAGAGTTATGGTATATTTAAGTAAAAAAAATTTTAAAAATGTTGAAAATAAGCGATTTTTAAATTTGTAATTTTTTTGGAGATTTCTCTTATTTACAGAGAACAAGGGAATTTTTTTTAATTTTTGAGGGAAATGTCTTCGACTAGATACGATTTGTGATCTTTTGACGTATTGTTGAAACAAATCGGTTCAGTGAGGGCTGAGAAAAAGTGGTAAAGGACAAAAAAAAATACAAAAAACACATTATAGTAAAGTTAATACCTTCACATCTTCGCATCGAAGCTAAAAATACTATCTTTATTTGTTTTTATTAAAAGAAATTATATTTTTGTGAATGCAAATATGCATTCAATTTAATTTAATATATTACATTAAATTTATTTTCTTTGGGTTATAATTGTATAATGTTTACATATATCATATCATTATTTATAAAACTGAGATAATTCACTAGTTTTATCATATAAAAGAAAATATGTTAATTACAAATATAGTATTAAAATAAAATATACTATAAATTAATAAACTAAAATCATTGAATATTTCATTAAGTCTTTCATCAGGTATTTCATTAGAGCAGTCAATTTTATCAAATCCTATGTCATAGTAAATTGATTTGACAACATCTTCGCAAAAATTATTAAAATAATCACAAGCATAATGATAGCTTTGAAAAGTATAACTTGGAAAAGTATTATTAATTTTCAATACCATATCTCTGAAAAAAGATATATATTTTTTTATTTTCAAATGGTATTTTCAATTGGCAACAAATATTCATATGATACGTTCATATGATTCATAAGTTAAATCTTTCTGAAACGTTAATCGATATTGTTGAAAATATTCTAAACGAAGTTTGGCTATATGAATTTTATCATTTAGGATTATTTTAGTAGATATATCGTTTGAAATCAAATTGCTTTTTAATACATGAAAAAAAACCATAACCCATTTGAGTATCTTACATAAACATGTAAATGAATTAAAATTTACACCCCATATTTTTAATTTTTTTAATATAATCATAACTGTCTTAAGAGTTTCAAACATTTTTTTAGATTTTTCAAATGATTTATGGAATTGTATTAAACATTCATCTTTATGTGATTTCCAATTTGCATCTGTATTGCATAAATGTAATATGACAGATAATAGTACATAATAATTTTTAATTATTTCAAGGAACCTGCATCGCAAAAATTGTGTAGTTTGTTCTCTTATTATTTGAAAATTTGTGTCATTAATTTGGTGTTCATTTAAATTGGACACACCTATACTTTCATCGCCATAAATGATTTTTATGTGATTCATAGATTTCCATATAGCTTCTAGAAGAATTATATTGAGAGCTTTTATTCCATCATTATGGAAAATTTCTGTAATTCGTGAAAGTAAAAGTCTATAAAGAAATAAACAATAAATACTAAATTAAATTATTTCACTAGCATATATTATATTATTTCTAAGAAATTGTCGAACGGATTAATAAAGCCTTTAAGATATATTGTACAATAACATCTACTTACTAATTATAATTATTATGTTATTCTAATAATTATTAGAATACGTGTTCCTTTTTATACATTTTTTACAATACATAGTATAATAATTTTATCAAATTCTGAATTAAACTATTATCTAAAAAGTTATTTTCAATCATTGCCCGTTTATTTTAGCTTCGATGCGAAGCGGAGAAGGTATTAATTTTACTATGATGTGTGTTTTTTTTTTTTTTTTTTTTTTTTTTTTTTT